ACGCATACAAAAATATAACACACTACATAAACATACACAAACGTATGCAAACGTACAACCACACACAAACATGCAAACGCAAACGAACACGGAACGCTCAGCATACAACGTGACACGAACGGGGACATGAGTAGTCGCAAAAACGTCAACAACACTTTCCGAGGAAACAAAAAAACCTGTCAACTAAGAAATAACGCTCGTCAATAGCTGGCAGTGTACACACGTGTGTTCGTGTATGTGCGTGCACACGTGTGCATGTGCATACATGTACATTTGTGTCCGTGTGCATGTGTATGTGTATTGGTGTACGTTCATGTATCAATGCATATATGTGCCTTAATGTGTGTGTGCCGTTTTTACGTGCGTGCTACGTGAGTTTCTGTTTGCATACGTGTTTGTTCAAATTTCTGTTAACATGCAGTCGCCGTAATACATGTGTGGTGCTGATGGTTCTTCAGCAATAACTCAAAAGTAAGCAATCCGGCCATTTTTGCTCACATCAATCAACCAACCAGCAAAATATAAGCCATCAATCAACGAAGCAATATGTTTTTGCCTTCAAACTATAGATTGCATGCAAACCCAATCAACCAGACAATGGATCAACCAACCAGACAACAGATCAACCAACCAGACAATCAATCAACTGATCAATCAACTGACCAACCAACTGACCGATCAAGCAAATGAGCTAGCATTATTGTCAGACAGTTCATCAAATCTAGACTCAGTCTCTTGCATTATTCTCCGGCTCTTGTCTGCACGTTCTTTGTGCATCGACAATCATAACACGCAGGCGTCAATTGGTTGTTAGCAAGTTTATACGCAGTTCTGACTGTTACTGTGTTGTGGCTGGCTGATTGTTATTTTGTGGTACCGTGTAGTAACTACATCGCAATTTACATACATATATCTTTTTCTTTCCTATTCAATTTAATTGTGCTGGGCTCATTCTATTGATCTAATGTTAAATATTTTATTATATTAGTTATTGCTGGTTTGGGTTATATTATTTGTTAGCATTTCGTCTATGGTTTTTTCTTTAACTTCAATATTTTTAATTAAAATTTTTTATAAATAGCCAATCTATGATTAGAATTTTACGAAGATTTCTGAACATTCAACAATAATTCAGCTAAGAACCTTGAGTTTGTAGCATGTTTGTTTTGTACTAAGGACACATCACATTGAATTAATTTAATACAGTTTTGCTACCTTTCAATGTGTCTCAAAATTAAATTAAATTTATAAAAAAAAAGGAAGGACTTAATTTAAAGATGGAACGTTGCCAAACTCTTCCTAACCTGTTTTGTTGCCGACGGCTGGGTGATTCTTTCGTCGATGCATCGATTGTTTTTATGGAAAAATAAAGATCTCTTTCGTTCTCGATTGTTTTAATTTTTTATTTTGAGTGTTGTTTGTGGGAACTAACATTTCCTTATCGGATTTAATAGATTAAACCGACAAAAAAACGGCAAGTGTCGATCATTAGCTTCCTGGGAACGTGATGAAGATTGTACGAGGAGTTTATAATTCAGTCTGAAGATATGATGTATTGCAGTGAATTGAATGAAATATTTAAAACATTGAGAGAAACAAAAGCCGTCGTAAGTGAAGAATTCATTAAAAATCTGTCCATTGTATGGCGGGAGTGGAAACAATAATGCACCCTGCCTCCAATATCAATCTTTCTTGCTTCATTCCAAGAATGAACGAATGAGTGGGTTGATGGATGGTTGGATGGATGGATGGATGGATGGATGGATAGAAATGAATGAATGAGCATCGATTGAATGGATACTTAAAGCAGGAGGAATGATTGAAGAAAGGAAGAAATGAACGATGTGTAACGGCCTCATCGAGACGGAAAAGCTGTTATAATGAATGAATGAATGAATGAATGAATGAAGGAAGGAATGAATGAAGGAATGAATGAATGAATGAATGAATGAATGAATGAATGAATTCTTGTGGAAATGTCTGAAAATATATTTACGGCGTAGTTGTCGTGTCAACTATATGTAGGACGGTTTGTGGTTGCGGTGTGTTTTGTTATCTTATGGTATTGTGAAATGGTATTTTATGGTATTTTAGTATTGCATGGTATTTTATAACATTATGGTGTGGTACATTTATGAGTCCTAAAGAAAAGCAGAAGTTAATGCAATAAAAATTTTATGGAATGATCGTCTGAACTGTTTTTACAAAAAAAATTACAAGCTGAACAGCCACAACGTAATAGTTTAAACAAAAAGAACATTTCACGTTTGGAACCAATGGTGTGTATAGCAAGTAATGTGGAATATTTTTGTGTGGTGTGGTTTGGTCTGGTAAAGTTCCATCTATTCTGGCTGTCTGATGAATGTTGTTTGTTTTTTAGGTGGAGTCTCTTATTTATTTGCTTATTCACTCGTTCGTTTGTTTGTTCTTTTGTAAACTGTTGTTTTTGTTAATTTTAGGTTGCTTATATTTTTTGTGTTTTTTTTTAATTTCAAAAATCGATTTGTTATAACAAGTCTTTTTTGATGTTTACGTCACTTTGGTTATTTTTAGTTTTGTTATTCTTTCTATCAGTCGTGTTGAGATTGTTTTGCAAGTTGAATGATAGTGTTGGCTTATTGCTGAAAGGAACGCTGCAGGGAAAAACGTATGGTATCTAATAAACGTATAAACGATTGTCCGTATGGAATTGCCAGTGAACGTTAATTGTACAACTGCCGTATCTCGTGTTGAAAAAATGGTTTTAATATTGGTAGGTAGAGGATGAAATGAGTGTACTGTACATGAAAGGAACAAACAAATGCATCTTTATGTTCACTTTATTGTATTGTTATTGGAGTTGAGGGAACAATAAAAAAATGAAACGTTTAAAGTTACAAGAATGGTCTAAGCCTAATGACCTTAATTAGAGCTGGCTGCCCGTTGCCGTCGTGATGCTTCATTGGATGATGATGGTAGCTTGTTTTCAAAATTGGTATCTCGACAAAGCCTACTGGTGCAACTTCATTAGTTAACACAACGAAACAACTGCAATTATCATTCTCGCAACAGATGTTCTTACCCTCATTTATAATTTATAATAAAAGAGTAACTATTCATCAGGGATTGTTATTGCTGCAGAATTCAAAAATTGGAAAAATAGTTAATTAGCAGAAGTTGTTGTTCAGTTCGCTAATTGAATGGAAAGTTATGGCTTTGGACACAATTTCGTTTAACCTGTGAACGACGTTAAGTTACTAATAAGACGATATGAGGCCAGGCGTTTGGTTCATAGCTGCGGGATCACTGCAAGCATTTTTGGCATAATTGTGCTAAAAATAATTATAGCCTTCCATACTTCAGGTGTTAGATAAGCAAAATATTTTTTTTACAACAGGTATAAACACAGAAGCCAGAATATTAAATATTTTATTATGTTTGTTATTTTTATTGCAATGTTTACTGCAGCGACAACTTTTCCGATTTTTCAAATTTGTAGCAGTAATACAAGTAGTAGTAATAGTAGTAGTAGCAACAGCATTAGTGGTAGTGGTAGTAGTAATTTTAGTAGTAGTGGTAAGAGTGGCATAAAATAGAAGCAGCAGTGAGTCAAATAGTTGTGTTGTAGTGCTTGCGAAGTAGAGGTAGTAATAGTTCTTTATGAAGTCATGCTTAACGTCTGTTAACGATCCTTCTCTTTATTGCTTTCCTTTCTAAGAATCGTTTGTACAGCGGAATGAAGAGATAATTCAGGGAAAAACATAAAACATACCTGACGTACATCCTCATACATGCATATCATACCGTACTACAAGCTCTTATGTGAATATATATTTATTATATACTGTGTATATATGTTTGTGTATATATATATATATATATATTATATATTTTATATATATTGTATATATTCTATACATATGCTTGATTTTATATTTTAGCTTTTTGTTTTGAACACATACAATTACACACGCACAATTATAAATAAATGATTGATAGATATGTGGTAGAAAAGTGGATGAACGGATGGATGGATGGATGGATGGATGGATGGATGGATGGATGGATGGATGGATGGATGGATGGATGGATGGATGGATGGATGGATGGATGGATGGATGGATGGATGGATGGATGGATGAATGGATGAATGGATGGATGGATGGATATTTATAAATGAAAACTCTGAAACCAGGCAGCATACATTTATTTTAAACAAAAAGTTTGCATAATATTAGCGCAACATTATTCAATTGCCATAAGTTACATGTGGATGAATCTGAATGTTGAAACTGTCGTCAGCGAGCAGACTGCAGGCGCATGCTTGTAGCATATCTTAACGCACGGCAGGCATGTTATTAGTACGTGTTGATGTCGACCTGACCATGGCGCCAGCTAGGCAGGCTTCATCGTAAAAGATTGTTTCCCACCCACCTCGCACTTGTTTGCATTAGAAACTATTCAACACGGATGCTGCGCTGATTCGCCTCGCATGCTGCTGTGTGTGGCTCTGTTCCTATGTTGTTTTAGCTTCTACTTCCATGTCTTTATGTTGTGTCCCACATGTCATCATCGCCAATGACAACACTGAGGCTTAATTTTATTGCCGTTTTATACAAGCAACCACAATAAATAGCGCATTACGCAACAACGTAAAACTTCCCTAGCAAAAACTGTCGGGATGTTTTTACTATTTTTAAAGAAAAATAAAAAAAACACATTTTTCATATTTTTATGTCTACCATAACTGTATAGATTTTTGGTTAAATTACGTTAATTGCAAAAACTGTTGTTCAATACTTTAAACATTTTGAAATAATCATCCTATTCATTCATGACACAACTTCATTTGACGTAGCATGGCATGGGTTATACAGTGAAACTGAAGTTATTACAGCAATAACATGAAAAGACGACATCAATTTTTCGACAGCTTTCAGAGACATCACTAAGACGCAAATAATAATTTGAACTGCATCCATTTCGATAAAAATTGCATGAATAATAATGAATCACTAAAAATGAAAACATCTGCCGTGTTGTTTGGAAGGTGAAAAATGTTTCCACTCGCAGGTACTTGAAAACATCGAGGAACTGCTTCTTGAAAGTTTTCGTCCTTTGGTTCGATGATACTCTGTCCGCAGATCTCTGGTCTGATAGCAACAGCAACAATGAGTTGATGTCAAACGATGACGATAATTACGCGTTGAACGATGGAGATGGCGAAGATGATGACAGTTACGGTGACGTCAGAAGTGATGAAGAGGATGATGTCGAAGATGTTGAGGAAGATGAAGAGGAAGAAGGTTCCGGCAAATGGAAATACGCGAAAGCCAACTTCAAAAGTAAAGGCCCTTTCAAGGTCAGCAGTGATTTTCAATTTCTACATTTTAATGTAATTATTTTGTCGCAATTTTATTTTATCAATGCATTCAAGTGCAGTTTAGTTCTATCAAATTTTTTTTATGGAAAAAAAACTGAAACATGAACGACAAATGTGAATATAGTGTATCTTTTTAGCTAAAGGCTTAAGAAAATTTGTTAACAAAACTAGCAATGTTCTACACTTTTCAGAGTTTTCGTATTCGCATTTTCAACATTTTATTTTGAAAAATCTTAAAAATATTTGCCAAATAATGCGAGTGCGGTTTTTTCATTTACAAAATTTTTGTTTTGATTTTACTAAACCTTCTGTCATATTTCAATACGTAAGTTTGGATAGAATTCCTTTGTTGACGTAACTTAGCTTAAAATGTTAACGCCTAACTTGGTTGCAGCAAAGCAATTTACAAATTTACAAAACACTGAGCAATATTTTTCCGTAGAGTTTGTTCAAAATATATGATGCTACAGGTATGACGATTATACAATTTTTTGGCAAATCAAAATTTTTCTTCCAAAAGACATGAACAACGTTAAAAACATCTTCATAGCCTCGTAGTCTTTGAATTTACTTGACATTAATTTTACTCTAACGTACGACATCCAATCTAGTTCTTAAAAAGCTTAAAAGTTTTTTTACAAGTATTCTGATAATTCTATTTTCGTTTTTAGCTAAATACTGGAAGCGTTCGTGTTCATTGATGCACGCAGAGCTTGTGTTTGCCAATTCTGTCGATAAGATAATGCAGTTAAAACTTGTTTTTTTTTTAATTAAAAGTGTGTTATTATTTTTACTATTTTTATTTTAGATTTATTTAACATTTTTCATTATATTTACCATTCTGTCGAGTCTCAAATGTATACGATTGAAATAGATTTTCATTCATTACATTACACACACACACACATAGATTCCATGATGAAGAGTATTAAATATGTTGATGACAACACAACTGATGAATACAATCTCACAATACAACCTGACAATACTTTCAACCAATACAATCAACCAATACAACCTGACAATACAATCAACCAATACAATCAACTAATACAACCTGACAATACACTCAACCAATACAATCAACCAATACAATCAATAAATACCATCAACCAACAATTCAATCAACCAATACAATCTACCAATACAATCAACCAATACAATCCACAACAGAGTGCAATCGTCCAGTGTAATAAGTCAATGAATAATGAACACTGTTTTATCATCCAAGGTTTTTTAGCACTCACCTCTCCAATGTTAACAATGGAGTATTGTTTGCTTAGAAAGAATAACTGGATTAGCGAAAAACTAAAAAAAATTACCATTTAAAATTTTCGCCATTTATAACGTTCCTGGTTTATTATCTACGCGTGCCGGACATACAAGCGGCACACGACAACAATCGCCCTGTGTGGATGCATGCCTAATCTCATGCCTGACTCTTCATTTTTGAGTCGTCGGCAATTTTCAATTTTTATGACTGGAAACAATTACACAGCGAATAATGTGAAATAAATAATTTATATAGCGCCATATGTGTGGCTTCTAAGGCGCTTCTGGATTCGACTTGCCATATTCGTCAAAAAGACATCATACACATGCTTGTGATTGTTGGAGATCTCTGCATCTCAGTGACCGGACACTTTATCACTACACTACTTGCCACCTTCATAAAATAACAATTTTTATTTTTCTTTATTACAATACTTTAACAAAATCCTCAAAGAATGTAACAATACGTTACTGATGTTTTTCATTTCAATGAGCAAATTTACACTTTAAAAATTGGATGATCCTTGAAGAGGCAAATTACTTCGCAGCATGTTTATTTTCTTTTCTAAAATGTTCAGTTGTGCTGCGACAGTAACGGGAGACTTGTTGATAAGTTTCATTAAGATGTCTGTTCTATGTCAAATGCTTATCCGCTCCATACTCCAGCACTCCATATTAAAACTGAACTGAATTGAAACTCAACAGATTGAATTTGCAATTGCCATCAACGACAGACTCCAAAATTGTTAAAAAAATAAGCGTTCAATTAATAATGAATATTTTACATGATGAGATAGAAGCCAGTTAATAGTGTTAGTATTGGATTTTGTTCAATTAACGTCGTTTTACGATGTTGTATAAAACTATTATAAATATTGAACATTTTAATGCAGTTTTTATTTAACAGCATAGCTTATATTGGAAGCGAGATGGCGTAGTGGTAAAGTGCCTGTCTCCTGCGTAGAAGTGACTGGATTTGAATGGAACTAAATTCTGTGCATATACGCATGTTTAGCGCGTTGATTTGCACGCAAGCATAGCATGTGGTACGCTGTTTGTAGAGGCCGATGTCATGATTATGAATAACTGGCGCTTCTCACGGAGTTAAGTAAAAGACAAGCTATTAAAAAAAATACAACTCAACCAGAAAACATTTTTTCACCAAATGACGGCTAGATTATTGACAAAGAAAATGAATGGTGAAACTCTCCAATTTGTAAAATATGAGGCTTATTAATGAAAGGATGAACTAACATTTGAGGCGCACACTTCTCATCACCAATTATTATTTTTATGACTAAACACCATCAGTGAGAACAAAACTGAAAACAAGAAGCTTCAAATTAGTTACAAACAATAAAGGCATGACAACGTTTATAACTAACAAATACAATCCAACACAACAACACTATTCAACAACACAACAACACTATTCAACACAGCAACACCACCCAAAAACACAACACCATCCAACGACACAACGCCACCATCCAACAACACAGCAACACCATCCAACAACGCAACAACACTATCCAACAACACCATCCAAAACATACAACAATACCATCCAACAACAACAACAAAATCGCATTCCCAACATTACACCAACAATAGCGAAAAAGATTGGCTATATGACATTTTGTTTAGCAGCAATCCTTGTATCTTCGTTATGATCTATCACCATAGGTGAGATGATTAATTGTCACACACCACGCACGTACACCATTACGCACTCAATCAAACATATTTCAACGCCCTTGTAGTAACGTATACAATTGCATGTTTAATGCTTTTTTATATAAATGTGATTAGTGAAGTTTGCTGACAAAAAACATCTTTCATATTAAATTGGTGCTACTCAACTGCTGCTGTTTGGTTCGGATATTGTTGGCTGTTGTGTTTTTTATCACAAATCACGTGCTGTTGTTTTTGTTTTTGCCACTTTTTCTACTAGTGAGTTATTAAGAATAGATTCAAGTTGTTTCAACTGGGTGCTATAATAACAAAGTTCTCAATGTTGCAAGTTCCCAAAGTTGCAAGTTCTAAATATAAATGCATACATTTTTTATTTTAACGATTCTCGTCAATAGTATTCGTTTCTCCTCTACAATCATATTGTGATGTTATTTACCTCGTTGTCGAATGATCAAACTGATCTTCATTGCCTCATACAGCACCTTCATAATTTTCCTCAAATAATCTCCATCCTCATCATCCCATTTTTATTATCATTCTATTATTTCTTCTTAACAATCGTTTCTATCGTCATCATCAATTTCATCATCGTCATCATCAATTTCATCATCGTCATCATCAATTTCATCCTGACTCTCCTCGCCATTTATTTTTTAATCGTCATTTTCACACAAGCAGACCAAACAAAAAAACACCCACACAACAACCAACCCAACCCACACCACAACTGACCAACCACAACTGACCAACCACAACTGACCAACCACAACTGACCAACCACAACTGACCAACCACAACTGACCAACCACCCCGCTAACCCAACGCAGATGATCATGCAGTCGTGGAGCGAGACAGCATCGTTGGACGCTTGCACAGTTGCCATTGACAAGTTGAGACTTGACAAGCTGCAGAGAACCATGCCAGGTTTCATTCACGTTATTACATCAGCCACTTTATCGCCTCGCCACACCTACCACAACTTCATCGCCACATTCGCCACCATAGTCAGCGCTTCAACTTCATATCCACTACATCCAACGATGCATCACTCCAGCTACTACCTACACATCACACTCGTCACGTGATGTATTACTTTTACTTTATATTAACGCAGCGTACCATTAATTAAAATAATACAGATAAACAACAATAACTAATTGAAATAGCGCCACAAAGCTTTTCTTCCTCTTAAATAATTCATCTTATTGTTATTTCAATATGTTTAATTTATTTTAATTTACCTTATTTCTACGCTAAATAGATGAAATTATTTTACCTCATAAATGTGTGCGCCATGTTTGCATAAAAGCTAATCGCGACGTATCAATAATTGTTCATGGAATTTAAAGAATGAGACGAGACTCCGAAGCGCACTGAAAATGTGCGCGGGTACGTTCGAGGGCCGGTGTAGCTATTCTTAGAATACCCATACTGGCCCTCGAACTTAGAGTATGATGCTAGCAGCATTGCACACATAACGTTAATAATGTTTCTAATGTAACTTCAAAACTTTCAATTTGCATCAGCAGAAATTGAAAATTTTTTTTATACCCTAAAACTTTTTTCATCTTTTAGTCAACATTTGAAAAGTATTTTTTTAATTAATTGAGAAGTTTTGTCTGAAAGACTTATGCGATGTTTCAAAAAAATAAGATAAAAAGAAGGAAAATGTGAGAAGACAATACTTTTGCTATCTTGTTAACAGTTTGTTCCTCTTCTATCTATCTCAATTTCTAATGCCTTTAACTTTCATTTCAATTAAATTTTTATCTAAACATTTTCAATTTAAACTTTTTCCCAAAATATGTAATCATGAAAAATAACGCAAAAAATGCAGATAAATCTAGCATATCGTGCATAATTGATTATAGATAGGCGTGTGTGCAATCACGTAGACATGTCAAGCGAAAATCATTAGCCCGAAGCTCACTTGCCTCAGTTTTGTCTCAGACTCCTTTATTAGGTCACTGATCGTTTTATTGATCGCTATTTTCTTCTCATGTTTCCAGATTGCAAGAACTTAATTTAATTTTTTGTAGTTTTTTTAACTCTTTACATGAAAGAACATTAGTTGACTGATACCATCCTTGCGCCATAATTTTTAATATATAACATCACGCTACCTTTCTACCCTTTTATTTTGTTGAGTGAATCTGATCCGCTAGAACCAAAAGTACGAAACTTACTGGTTACGATGCAGTGGACTCCTTCTCAAATTGCTGTATTCTTTCAACATTTTTTTATTTGAAATAATTTTTTCGCAATCAATATTAACTCCTAATTGGTTAGCAGTTTTTCTAAAAAAAAATACCCTCATTAAAGTTTTAAAAAATGTTGAACGTCGTTATTATATCAGTAATTCGGCTGCAAATTTTAAAAATGAATGAAGCCATTAATTAATTAATTGATTTTTTATTTATGTAACAAAAACATATTAATAATTTTATAAAAAAAGTTGAACATTTATGGGTAATATAAAGATAGATCGAACCAGACATTCACCCGCATACAATATTTTAATATTTTTGCTCATGATGTCAATTTTTCGTCAAAACAATGAGTTTTACTGACTTTTAATCCAAGTACTGCTCACAACTGGCCTCTCCGGATCCCCACCCCTTGATACACCGCCGTTTTGCACTATTCTATATCGTTGAAAATTTATTTCTCAAAACCCTTCCAATGTTTGTATAGCGCGCAAATTTTAATGAACTGTAATCGACTAGTCTGTATTTGACATTATTCATCATTTGTGATGAAAATTTTCATTTCGTATTATTTTTCATTCTATCTTATTGATTATCTTATTTATTATGTCATCTTAGCTCGCTTAATTTTTAGGTTATAAAAATTAGATTATTGCAATATTGTTAACAAATCACAAGTCAAAATATTAAGAAAGAGTATCATTAAAAATATCGTTTAGCCGCATGAAGCCGACACGTATTAAATAAACTTTTCAAACCAACAACCAACTACGACGCAGTTTGTCGTGCTAATGAGTTCCAATGTGCTGATGGTTCATGCATAGCTGGGTATCTCAAATGTGATGGGAGCAGTCAGTGTCCGGACAGGTCTGACGAAGAGGACTGCACAGTCGCTGAACAAGGCGGTTGGTTATTTAAATGAATTAACTTAAATTAATTAAATTTATTTAGTCTATGTTTTTTAAATCAATCTGCCGGTCCTAAAATTTAAATATATTTTGGGTAACTATTCTTTAGATAGGCAATCCGTCATCTTCATCAAGTCAAATATCATGATGTCTGATCACTTAATTAGGAATAAATTGTTCATTTAATAAATTTTAACTAACTAACCAGCCTAACAATCAACCAACCAATCAACTAACTAACCAACCAACTAACCAGCCGGTCAGCCAGTCAACGAACAAACCAACCAAATAAACTGCCAACTAATCAACCAAAAAACTAATCAACAAACCAACCAACCAATTAACTAGCCAATCAACTAACCAGCCAACAAACTGACCAACCAACTAACCAAGCAATTAACCAAATAACCAACCAATCATCTAACCAACTAACCAGACAATCAACTATCTAACTATCCGACCCATACCCACTATTCAGACTACTACACCTCTTTATACACTATTTACCCTAGTCATCAATCAGAACCCTAGTCACCAACCATAATGCAATAACAAATTGTTTTTCTAACAAAATTATTACACAGGTCTCAACAGCTAAACTTCAGTTTCTCCAAAATCTAAGATTTAAATGGTTGTTGCACATGAGCAGATAATTTATAAGGCCGCTTTGAAAAGTCGCATTTATAATATTTATTAAATGTTAACCAGTAAACACTTTTTTCTAAATTTATTTTAGCGCCAAGTTTGTTATAAAAAAAACTGCATAACCGATGATAGCAGTGTATAAAAATTATTGCAATAAATATAATTCTGTGTGTCTGATAACTTTTATAAAGATCCTAATCTGTATAGACGCATACATAATCGAACTAATTAAATATCATAATTGGAAAATATTTTTCATATTCTCTGAACAGTAAAAGTAATTTGTAATGATGAAGTATCATAGAGGAAATTTTTGAAAAATGTTTTTCAAATTTTGATTCAATTTTCGACTTTCAATCCAATAATGCGACTGTCCATGCTTCACTGGTTCTGATTGTCACGCTTCATCTACGTCCCGTTTAACAATATTTGTTAGAATTTTCCATTTGTTTAAATTTTTATTTTTCCTGTTTTGAGTTTTTCTTATTTTTTTTTATTTAATAAATAAAAAACTAACCAAACTAAAGAAATGAATAAATAAGTATGGGCTGATCGTATTGATAAAAAAATCAGATTATATGATACATCTGATTACAATATTTTTAATATTGGATTATTTTGCTTCAATGGTTATTATTCTGACAATCTGCAGCCTGATTTTACATAACAGTCAATAGCAACATATCACCCAATGTTCACGTTCATCTCTGCTTCTTCCCACCTCCATGTTTCTTAATGCTACATATCTATTGCTCTCTCTCTTCTTCACTGCTCAGTTCTGCTCAGTTCTTTTAATGATCAAACACTTCTCATTGATTCACCAAACTTGTAAAATCCAATGATATATGATACTTTGGCATATGTAAGTTAATGTTTGGCGAATCAGCTTATTCGGTGGAAGCGTCCCCTGTCTCGCGCTACTTACTGTACAACGCGATGGCCTAGCTCGAATGATGTCTTTCCGAAACTTGGAAACAATCATGCTATGATAGATCTTATTTTTTATAAAATAATTTTTTAAATGATCTCAACTATCTTTTTATATTTTAGTTTCACCAACAAAAAAGTAATTTAAACTTGAAGTCTAACTAACCTGCAGTCAACAATCTCATTAATTTTCTCATGTCAGTTGCATTTGTGCTCTGCAAATTTGGATTGAGAACGCTGAAACACGAAACACCAACTATTCAACTTCATAACCGCGCACACACACTCCATTTTCGCGCCGAACATTCGCTTGGTGTGTTCCCAACGACGGCCGCCAGTAGGGCATGCATGAAAGTTTTTAATTCTTGTGAAGATATGACGACGTGACGAGATGAGCCATGCTGCGATTATTCTTCTACGAAACGTTCATTTCTAGCATCAACATCAATTCATTGCTCTACGTTGTTTTCGATATTCCATTGGAGTGATCTGGTGCTTTTTGACATAAGTGATTTTTTGAAAACTTTTCTTGACAATTGATTCTGATTAACTCTATCGAACAAAACACGTTACTCAGAACACCACATCTCAGCAGGTACAACTTTCAACCATTCATTCATCTACGTATTTCACCTACTCTTTTTATTAATTTTATCTTATATTATTCTTTTCTAAAACATCAAATTCGGTCGTTAAGCATTAGCGCCTATTTAAGGTATTAATACTTTTGACATTAATTCAAACAATCGCAAACAAACACAAACAAATACAAACAAACGCTAACTAATGTAGACAAACACAATCAAACATAAACAAACAAGAACGTAAACAAACACAAACAAATACATATAAACGTAGACGAACACAAACCAACTGAACAGTAAACCGTAGCAAGGCTGCAGAGGAATGCGACCTCAGTGTCTCCTTGCTCTGTGACGAACCTGCCGTCTGCATTCCAAAGAACTGGGTCTGTGACAACATCACTGACTGCTCGGATGGACTGGACGAGAAGCACTGTGGGTCGTACGGTGGGGACGATCATTTTTTGTTTCTAATACGATAATAATAAACCCAAACTTTTTTCAAAACGATAAAATACGCCTGAGGAAACATTCAAGAAACTTTTAAATTTTTTATATAGCATGTCACATGAATGCGATCAATCATGACACGCAATCTTCCGTAATGGCTCACACATCCACATCAGAGCACTAACAACAAAACGCTCATTCACACATCCACATCAGATGGTTCACATCAGAACACATCCACATCAGAGCACCAACATAGTTCACTCACACGTCCACATCAGAGCACCAACATGGTTCACTCACACGTCCACATCAGAGCAGCACAAACAACGCGCATGCACTGATAATTGTCCTTGCAGCGCAATAATTTCAATGATCATCATCACCATCTTGCGTTTGAGAGGAGGCCAACTTTGAACGCTCATCATTGCAGGCCAGATGGATCCCTCCCTAGCGAACAATCGTCAAATGAATCTTGAACACTCCCAACCAACAAAGGAAAACGTCGATGACGTCACTGGTGATGATAGTGATAGCAACAACATCAACAACAACTACGACGATCCTGATAATGATAACTACGACGACAGCGAATGCACGGATAGTGATTTCCATTGTTCCTCGAAGAACGAGTGCGTGTCCATGCCGTTCGTGTGCAATGGCATTCCCGAGTGCACCGATGGATCGGATGAGGTCAACTGCACTGCTGGTAAGTTGCGTGTTGCTGAAACATGCGTGCTACTGAAATAGTGTGTGCTACTGAAACGTTACGAGTCTCTGAAATGTTGCGTGTTGCTAAATTGTTGCGTGCTGAAATGCTGCATGTTGCTGAAATGTTGCGTGTTGAAATTTTGCCCCTTGAAATGTTGCTTGTTGAATTACTGCGTGTTGAAATGTTACATATCAAAAGCTGTCGTGTTGAAATTTTGCACGTTGAAATGTTCGTGTTGTTAAGTAAAATGGATTTCGTAGTCATTTGATTTTAAATATTTTTCCCAAATAATTTGTTTGTAAATTTTCAACAATGAAATGTTGATGACATGAAAAGGTTCGGCAACCTCTCTCCCTGGATGTCCCCCTCACTTCTCCGAATGTTCTGCAGACGTGAACGGCGCTGCCTGCATCACCGCTGACATGTTCTGCGATGGAAAAGTTCACTGTCCTGATGGTCTAGATGAGGTGAAGGAATATTGCTCGAAAGTTGAACAGGCCAGTTCAGGTTGGTTATTTGCATATTTTTAAGGGTTATTTGCATATTTTTAAGGGTTTTTTTGCATATTTTTAAGTTAATTATTTTTTTACTTATTTTATTTTCTTTTTATTTGACTATAATGTTCAATTTATAATTGTTTTAAATTAGGGCTATAAGTCATCATGATGCATTTGTGCATTTTATTGCTAATTTTTGAACCAGGGAAATGAAACTGTAATATATGGTATGTTGGAATGTTTGTAGGTTCGACGAATAGAAACATCTCTGTGATGGTTGGCATCATATCTGCCATTCTTCTCGTCCTCATCATCATCGTCGTGGTCGTCGTCTACATAATTCTGTCGAAGAAGCGTCACAAGCGATGCCACAGCCGACGCAGGACTCTACCACCGCCTACCATGACGAGCATTGCAACCATCTTCAACTCATCAGATGCTCACAATGGTCAGTCTCTCTTCATTTCATGCTATTCTCCTCCTTCAATTATTTTCTAAATTCATGGCAAACTAACAACTTTTTTAAGTCTATTCGCTTTTTCATTTCAACTTTGTTTATAACAACACTAATGTTGCACTGTTCGTTCATATAATATCTAGAATAAGAGGTTAGACAATATTAATCAAGGCAGTGAACATCAAATGATATCATAAGAGCTCACATCTACATAACAAAGACATTGTCAAGTTATAAAATTCTAAATGACGTTTCCATTCAGACCAGCACCAATCCAAGCAGCAACAGCAGTTAGCACAACAGCAGCAGCAGCAACAACAACCACGTAACAATATGGCCTACAACGACGAATCATTAAGATACGACCCTTCTGACAACCTACCTCCACCATACAACAAAATTATCCAGCAACAACAGCAACAACAACTTCTACTTCAGCAACAGGTAGTAGTTTGCTTAACATTCAGTTTGCTCTGGAAATGAGTTATTTAATTATTTAAACACATCATAAATATTTGCTCGTTATTATTTATTTTTCACATTTTATTTTCAAACTTCACGTTTGGAGTTTAAAGATACGTTTATACTGATACTGAGATCCTACTGTATTACGTCATTTTACGTAACTGCATATTACATCATATAACATCACACGCCTCATAGCATCACGTAACATCACATCTCCTCACATTCCAGTCTTTCACACGCGAGATTGAACTACATTGCATCACAACGCATTAGGTTACATAACCTAAACATCATTAAATAACATTAGAACATTGCATTACAACAAATAACAATCAAATTACATAACAACAAACCATCCCATCACATCACAACAAACCAACACATCACATCACTCAGGCCTCTTCCACTTCTTCGTTTGAACGTCTCGACATGGGTGCGATCGATTATGATCCAAAGTCCAAAGAACTCCCAATCAGCAACCAGACCTCTTCTCCATTTTTCTCCTCTTCTTCATCACCTCTGCATAACAAAAAAGTCGCTTCATCGGCCACAAACAACCACGGAGGGCGATCCAGGAAGAACGACAACATGGTGTCGTACCGAAGCAGTAAGTCGTCAGTGGGGGATCACATTTACGAGGAGCCTACGGGTGTTGTGTCCATGATGAAGGAGAGGAACAACGCTGCTGCTGCTGCTGCTGCTGAAGACGACGACGATGACGGCGTCGTTAGTCGGTATCCATGTGCTGATGAGGAAGATGAAGACGAAGAGGAGGATGATAATGTTCATCAAGTATTAAGTAAGATGAAACCTAATTATGTTTATATTCCAATCCAAATGTGTTTTAATGAAATTTTACGTCAGTGAACCGATTTTGAACAATCGTTAATATTTAATTGTTCACAGATTCAAGGTTCTCACCAATGCATTTGCAGTCTATTCAGAAACAGCATTTATTGCATCATCAACAGCAACAACAGGACCAGTATTACAAACCACAACAGCAACAACATCAGCAGCAGCAACAACAACAACGCAACATGCGATCGTCAGTTGTATCGCCTAATGCTGCATCAGCAACTTGCCAACGAGTTTCGCGAATCAGATTGGGAACAGCAGTCATTCAGCAACGAAACGACAACAGTTGGGTGGACAACGGTTTGTGTACAGCCAACCCATCAACCAACAATTACTTGGACAACAGAGGTCACGCTACCATGGGAAGATCTAGCCGTCGAAACAACAGCAACCAGCTGCAACACGCGTCAGTTATGTCTAGTCGAAGAAGAAGCGGGGGATTGGACGGGGTGTTCAATTCCCCTCCCACAACTCCACCTCACCACTACGCTGATCAATTCTACCCAACGTCGGACAACCACAATCAGCAACATTCTCGTTACAGAAACAACAACGGTCCGGCGGATGATGTGATGACAGCACTTAGATTGGCTTCAAAAAATTCCAGCTCTGCAGAGAGCAGCAACAACTCGAGCAACAGTGCATCTAGCAACACGAAACTGCTTCCATCCTCTGCCAGCTGTCAACAATTTCAACCAAACATTCTTCAGAACAACAACGCCGTCAGAAGAGATCCAAAGTCGACATCCTCGAAAACTTCTCAAGTGGACAGAATTCCACTCGGCATCTGTTTCTCTACAGATCAACAACAAATGTCCGAAATGTTTTCTCAGCAGTACGATCGTTACCAGCAACAACAACAGCAAATTCAACAACTGCAGCAACAAATTCAGCAGCAACATATACAACCCATCAGAAAACAAAGTACCACACCAGCTTCTTTAACTCACAACAATTCTTTCCAACAAAGGTCAAATAATTTTTCATCTAATTAATAAAATTTTCAACAATAAAATAAATTTTTAAACGTTATTTTGAACCAGATTTAATAAAATTTTATAAAAAATTTGCATCTTCGAACATAAATTCACTTATAGACAACATATCTTAGGTAGGGAATCATCCATCGGTGGTACGAGACCAGACCGAGAAACCAACAATGCAAACAAATTAAACTTCAGTCAATACAGCAATATTGACAACATCAGTAACAACATCCGCCTACAAAACTTTACACAGATTGATTGCGACAAAACAAAACTTGGATCTCCGTTTGCCAACGAGCATGTTGCACTCTCGAAATGCATGCCACAAAACATTGAACAGCCATTGAACCAGCGCTTTCATGATGATGAACAGCTCAAGTTCGCCAAACTTCTCAACCATCGATCCACCTCAGAAATTTTGTGTGGAGATGAATTTTTAAACCCAACATGTGTCTAAAATATTATATTAAATTCATTTGATTGATTGATTGGCTTGATTAACAATATAACCATAAACTAGAGTACACAGATGTCTCTCTCTCTCTTTTTCTCTCTATATATACATGTATGTATATATATATACATATATATATATATATATATATATATATATATATATATATATATATATATATATATATGTTTATGTTTGTGTGGGGAGTGTATGTATGTGTGGTGCGTGTAATACATATGTGATTATATATGAGTGTGTATAAATACATGTAAATATATATTTCTCGATGAATGTATATATAAATATACGCATATACCCATTTTCAGTAACGAAGATTTTTTGGAAAGATCAAACAAAAAAATTTTAAGAAAATATCCAGATCAGTTGAGTATCAATCAACCTGTCGACATCATGCTAACTCACTCCTGTCATAAACCACACGCCAGCTTGTGGATCTAAATCTTTATTAATCAATTTAAAAGCTTTTTGTAAAAGTCTCTCATTAATTTATTTACCATCAATATACCATCTCGCAGTTTGCATACGTGTGTGTGCGTGCGTGCGCGTGTGTGTACGCGCGCGTGCATTGCAAAAATAAAAAGAAATTAACAAGATGAAATATGTATGTAAGTAAAATAGAAGGTTTGAAATAACTTGTGAATAACGTAAAATTAAAAATTAAAGAAATTGCATTTTTTTATTATTATTTTAGCAATGTTTATTTTATGCTAGTCTTGAATTTTATTTTACCATTTGGTCAATGTTTTATAACCACAAAGATGAAAACTTTCATGTGATTTCTTCTGGCGGACTCTAATGTTATTACGATTTATTATATAGATAATTTCACACGTTATAATGATGCATGTCGACCTTGACCTTATTAACGCTTCATGTTAGATTCGGGCTGGAAATTATCGAAAATCATTCATTTTATATTTAATAATTTGCTTCTTGTACCAAAATTCACACAAACCACACACTTACACCCTCGTTCTCTCATACTACATCATACACACGCCAAAATATACCCCATACTATATATATAATATTATATATGTACTTGTTAACATATGTAAATACTTTCATTTTTGCTAGATCTTTTTGAAAATTTTGCCAATTTTTGAACGAACCGAAAGAAAACATTTCTGATGTTGGAGAAATGAGAAGGCAGTCTCATCGGAAATGTACCGTATACTGAGAGGCTGGAAGGTTCTGCAGTGAATGATGATAAGGAGTGGGTTTGGTTAGAGAGGACATTCAAATCGTAAAACTCCACTTTTAGAAACTGTGGCTCAGCCAGGAATTTTTTTGGATATAATGGTAGACGGCGCTTTCTTGTATATTCTCCATTTATTTATCGAATTTTTAAACCAATATGAAAATTTTGACCGTCATGGGTAAAGTCTGCATAAAATAATAAATCAAAATTGATATAATAAGTACACACGTATAATTTTACCTATGTTGGACTGGATAGTGGATACGTTAGCCAGTGAGAACAAACAGATATGTAACTTCTGAAATACTGAATATTATAATCCATAATAAAAGTCAATCAGCATTTTTGAATAAATGAATAGACAATATATATATATATTTATTTATATATATATATAGTTTGATAGAATTCACATAAATTGATTAATGCCAACAATTCGGTAGAATTCATACAATTCTATATATATATATATATATATATATATATATATATATATATATATATATATATATATATAATTACCAACAATCGCTTTCAGATGTAGGTATACAGCAATGCATGACCAAGGATTATAAAAATTATGGAGGGTTGTTCATAATTTCATTATATGTTCCTGTAATAATTATTAAACGGTTATAAATTATAATTATTGAAAATTTAGAATTTAATTCAATTCATTGAATGAATTAGAAATAGAGCATAACATGAATCCTCACCTGTGTACATATAAACCATCTCTACGTCCGACGCATCCATTCGTTTCGTTCATTTCTCATTAGTTTCCATTTTTTGTATAAATCTTTTTTTTCTTCATTTCATATTTTGCCATTTTAAAACTTTTATATAATATTTGTTCAATTTGCATCATCAAGACAAGAATGCAAATTTTCATTAACGTTGCTGCTGCTTTATACTAAAAGTATTTCATTGTTTTGTATAATATATATATATATATATATATATATAATATATATATATATAATGTATTTATACGTAAATTAACGATATAAATATGATTTATAGCATATACAGTAATGTGAGTGTGTGTTTGTAAATGATGATTTTATGGAAATTAGTTGTAAAAAAAACTTTAGTATGGGCCCGTAAAAAATCTTTGCAAGCATTTTTCTGTTGCCCTTCAAATTTGATCCATCCTTCTGATGGTTAAAAAAGGTTAAAAGTTAAAAGTCTATTACACTCTTCCTAGGTTCAGAGGGATCAATCTCTTTTTAAATCAGCACACATGTTTCGGTTTGTTCCTTTCATTTCTGCCTTCCAAATCGTCAACTGGTTTTTCTTTTCATCTCCATTATCGTCCGCAGTGCCACGGCCAAGCTTATAAATTATGATGTAATGAATTTGTTGTTACAGTTAAGTGGAGAGATCTTTTCTTTTTAAAGTAAACAAAATATCTTAACTAGTTAACCGTTCTAAAAATTTTGCTCGGCAAACTTGTTTTTTTGTCTTCTACCATTTTAATTCACTTTCAATCCATAAAATTTCTTCAAGACAGAAAAGATTATAATTTTGTAACCATTTTATGACTTAGTTTCATACACGTAGTTGTAATGCGTATATCTGTAAGCACACATACACACACTCATACATACGCATATGTAAATACACACACATAAGAGAGAAGTCTGGCCAAAATAATTTTTGTTTGAAATTTGTATTCTTACCCTATGCAATGCAAATTAAAAATTTGAAAATGTAAGCGTATTTCAGGCAAATAATTTCATTGCAATTTTTTATGAATATTATTACCATTTTAAAAATTTGTACTGCCCGAAATCTGTTTACTAATTAATAAAACATTACCAATGAAAATTATGATGATTCAATGTATTTGCAGGGTTCCTTATCTATTATTACGTTTTATCTCAATGTTATATTCAGTCATATTGTACTTATAAATTGAATAAAAAAACTTTAGAATTTGATTTCTTATTCAATTTTCCAGTCACTGATCATTGAAACATTGAAAAATTTTACGGCAGTCTTTATGGCTAGAACCTTTAGTCAGCTTGAAATTATGGCCCCTTTTACGAACATCGTTTGCAAACAGTAACGTAGGGTCAACAGTCAACATCGGTAGGAAGCTGACCAGGTATTATTCTATTTGACAAAATAAGGTCGGCTCTTAGACGTCTGTAGACCAGAGACGGCAACTCCAATTTCTTCAACCGGTCCTTGTATGGAAGACCTCTACAGGATGTTCTCACACACATTGCCCTTCTTTGAACTTTTTCTTAAAGATTTCATACTTGAAAACCGTAGGCTACTGTGCGACCTCACCAATGACTCACAGATCACAAAATGCTTCCTTTATAAACCTGAAAAATAACTAAAATTTTGGAAGATTTAAAATACAAAAGACATATAGTGTGTATTTGATTTGATATTTCGTTTATAATAAAAAACGTCTGCATCGTATTCGCTAAGTTTTTTATGGGATTGACCCAAGTCATATTTATATAAAGTAACCATCAGTTTTCCATAAATTTGGTTTTATTGCTCAAATAAAATTGCCTAAATTATTTGTAAATAATTAAATTCAGCAGCCGTCTTTTGCGTGGTTTATTAATTAATAATAATTAAATAAATATGGACAAGTCGGTGAATCATTTGGAGCAATTTCTGCTGTTGGCAAAGACGACGAAAGGTGCTGCTGCCGTTGAATTGGTGAAGCAGGCCCTCGAAACTCCAGGCATCTATGTTTTTGGTGAACTGCTTGATGCTCCAAACATAATAGAAGTATTTAAAATTTAATTCAATTAAATTAAAATGGTCAAGTGTTTTATTCTACTCTATTTCTAATGTGATTGATCCAGTTCTGCTGATTTTAAAAACTTATAAACATTAATGTTTTAAAAAGTTATTTGAAAAATATTAAAATTGTAAAATAGAGTTAATTAAAAAAATTCTGACAACCAAGAGTATTATATACAATAAATACATATATTATGTATGTGTATGCTTACTTCAGTAATAGCGAAACAAAATATTTACACTTTTGCAGTTAGCATCAGGTACAAACAAAATCTATTATGACTTGCTAACATTGTTTGCTTATGGAACATTGCTTGATTACAACAGTGAGTTAATCCATCCATCCTCTTCGTCCAATCGATCATTTGTTATTAATTTATCATTATAAAAATGAAATAAAAAAATATGTTGATCACTTAAAAGCATCTATTGATAAATTTGATACCCACCCTTTAGGGCCATGTATTTATTTTATATAGCAATGTTCAATAATAATATTTCTAGAGAACAGAGATAAATACCCTACTCTCTCTAAAAACCAGCTACAGAAGTTGAGACATCTGACTATTGTTTCTTTAGCTACAAAATCAAAAGTTTGTTTCATATTTAATGGCTTTTCAATGTAGATTACAAAAATTAATTTTCTGTCAAATATCTCTTTTCTGATTTTCAGTGCTTGTCATATGATGTTTTGCTGAAAGAACTGGACTTTACTAATTTAAGAGAACTGGAAGTAATATATGCTATAATATTTTCAGATTTTTGTCACTAGGCACATGTTTTTATGTTCTTAATACAAATTATAAATTTAATGCATTTTGATTGAGCAAATATACTGATAAACAAAAATGATCTTTTAGGATTTAATTATAGAGGTGATCTGTGTGGACATCGTAAGAGGTAAGTTGGACCAGAAGCAACAACAACTCTTCGTCGAATATGCATTGGGCCGAGATGTCCGACCCGAAGATGTCAAATACACCATACAGGTCTTCGATGATTGGTTGGTTCTCATAAAAATTGTTTGGAAATTTGTTTTTGAATAACCATTTTATTATGATTTGTCACCCATTTTATTATCTTTGTTTGAACATTAAGATTAAAACTAATATTTTTAAATTTTGAGTAAATTGTAAGTGAATTAATTTTGAAGACGTTTCTTAATTCTATTGCAGAATGAGTAAAATATTTATGAATTTCAGTTGCTCAGTGAGATTTAAACTAACTATTCAAATTTGTGAGATGAGTAAGAACTCGTTTGATAAGATGATCATTAAGGTCAATGATCAAAAATCGTTGAAAACTGTGGGCGATGGAGTTTGCCTTTTGGTTAGGTAAGACTTGATGCAAGTACTTAGAATTTCATATAAAGTTTTTCAGATATATCGGCAAGTTGTTGATGCTAAATATAAAAAGCATTACATGGTTAGATTATTGACGATGATATATTTATATGCCCTTCCATTTAATTTTGCAAAGAGTCTTATAAATTCATTATACTGTGTTCTGTACACACCATAGGTGTCAAGGATGTGAATCTGTTCTTCATAACATTGAAATGTTGGCTAAAGATGCAAACAATTGCAAAGATAACTACAGCAAACGGATGTCAAAAATTGAACAAGAAGTAATTTAATTTCAAACTTTTTGCTCAACCAAGAAATTTATTTTAAATAGTTGAAACTTCCTTTTCCAGCATTTTGTTGTGTAGCTTAATCATAAAATTTGAAAACTGGTACAAATAAGACATAGTAAAATTGTAGAAAAAACATATTTTTATAGAAAAAATAAAAATATTCAATCTAAACTAAAGCTTGGTTAACTTGCAGATCCTCTCAATAAAGAAGTCTTTGAAAACAATACAGCAGCAGGAAATGGAGGAACAACTAAATATGGATTTATCCAGCAGTACTGACAAGATGTCAGCTAAGAAATCTAAAAGTAAACAAGGGTGGGCAATTTTTTTTATTTCAAATTATTTCATAGTAAGATATTTTTAAAATTATAAAAGTTTGAACGCCGTTTATTTTATTTACTATTAAAACTTTTATTAATCACGATCGCAGGTCAAAATTACCTCTGAATGTTTGCGCAATAAATCAAAAGACACAACCAAAAAAAAATGAGTGAATGAATTCAGTGTGCATGATGTGAGTTGATGATAATTATATACATCTAGTATTATTGTTCATTTAAAAAAAGTTTTCTTGGACGCGTTTCCATTAATGTTTAATTTTGTCAAAACTGATCGATGCAAAACTGTCGCTTGGAAGACCATTGTTCATGCGGCACACACAAACGATGGCTAGGCAGTGCACCTAAGTTTATTGGGCTATTGTAAAAACTACAAAATGAAAGCACGTTCATTGGTGATCATATTGAACAAGATTTCATTCGAATCTTAAACAAAGCAAATTTGTGATTGTGAACTAGCTATTAAGTTCGGTGTAAAGCTTTTGGATAACATTAAATATTTATAAGCAGGCAGGTACAGCGTTAAACAAAAGTTTTAAACTATTCAGAAATCACTTTCTCAGTTTTCTAGGAGACGAGTTTGGTGCATTCGGCTTCTTTTTATTAATAAAACTGGTGGATGTCTCCAGCTTTCTACATGTTTGATGTTTATTAAAGTTCATCAATGCATGTAAAATAAATGCACAGAGCACCACAGACTTATTTCAATGCAGAATGTTAAGGCAATTTTTTAAAGTATTTTAAATGCTTGATAATAAATGGGTTTAGAATAAAATAGCATTTGTTATGTATTTGTGGAAAAATAAAGATGGCAAAATACAACTCTGTAGGTAGAGTGCGTCTGAAGATGTCCATAAATTTCCAAACAGTGCTTCACAAATAATTAATTTTCAAACGGTCGAAAGTGATTTACGTTGTAGTAGTAGTTAGAGTTAAAAAAAACTACAAGATATTTTAGTTAAGAAGTTGAACACATATATTAATAATAATTTTAAAATTACAAGTTAATACTTGCGGTTAAATTTACATGAACAATTTTTAACACGATGAACGACGTCGTATAGCAACCGTTTGCTAGCGGTTTATTAGTGTGAGCTTCATAAGGCTGAACATTTTCTCCAATTCCCTGAGACTGCAATCACCGTTGGTGCACGTCTCCTAATCAACGCGTCTAATTTTACGTGTTAAAGCAAAAAGTGATTTCTTACATATCGCAAATTTTGTTTTTGGAACCAGAAATGTTTTTCCGTTTTTAGAAATCGAAGCGGTAAAATATCGTTCAACTTTATAGTTCAGTCGTGGATATCATGATTTAGACGCATTTATAAATGAGAAATAAATCAAATAACTAACAAACCGTTAGGTATGTCGTTTAGCTAATGTTACAAAAATATTTACTTGCTATCCTTTTTGGTGTTAAATATTTTTTCAGCATTAAATTTGACAAGGGACTGCGTGAGTTTTTTGCTCTCTGCGTGCTGCGCGTTCTCATCTATTCTCAGTCGACTAGGGCACACCAACAACAACCATTGCTATAAATTTCACAGACAAATTATATGTATTAATTTTTACGTGATATTTTTTTTCAAAATTAATATTTGAAATAAAAGCCAAAAGTCAAACTGATAAAAACATCCCATACCCTGGTTTGTGGAGGAAGTCCAATTTCAGTGAAAGCATATTGCCATTGCTTAATAGCGCAATGGGACATCATCAAAGCCATGTAGGATGTAAAACTGTCGGTTAAATAATGTAGACTCAGCGACCTATCAACTAACCATACTGAACATTGTGGCTCGAAATGATTGTCTTGATAAATTATCAAAATAAGATATAACATTTTTAAGGTTCAATTAAATGTTTATCAATATACTTATTTTATAGTTTGGTTTATTGAATACCAGGCAGACTTTTGAGTATCCTTCACAAGAATCTAGTTCGAAAAATAATTTGTGATCTGTGAACTTTAAACTGTTTTTGTGATCTGGAAAAAATTTTATTAATATATATAGTGTATATATTATTTTTATGTAAATGTTTTGGCAATTAAAAAGGTTATAAATACAATCAGTTACTAATAATTTAATAGAATATCATTTTCGTATTTATCAGCGGCGCGTTTCATTCAACATTTGAACAACCAGGGCTTGTTACTCGCGAAGTTAGGCTCGCCGCTTCTTTCCCAGTATAAATGGCTCTAGCGTAGCCACCGATTGAATAATAACCACATTAGCGACAACATTACCGACTCTACATATGAAGCTGAAAGAAAATTGATTTTCGTTACTTTTTGAATTGAAAGTATGCCAATAAACCTTGCTAAAGGTAAAATAATCATTAATTTTCTACGCCATTGAACCATTAACACTTTTAGTTGTGCATCCAATTCGTCATGTATCATAAAGAGAGCAAGAGTTAAATATGAATGACTGCTACATTTTAATCTTAAAAATTAAGCTTAGCACGGTTCAATTCCTACTTATCGCTTTTCTATGCTGTCGCTATGTTTATTTCACACTGAATAGCTAAATGGAAAATTTAGCCAAGCCATATTTTTACCAGGTGCTAGTCACTCAAAATGCACAAAAATATTAATAATAATCAATGGCCGGCATGGTAATTACCATTGCAAGATAGATAAATTTCTGACGGATCAAAGCAGTTGTTGTATTTGGATGATATTGTGAGTTTTTTCAAATTTTCTACTGAGTTTATTCTGCAATCCGATACAGGTACGGAGGTATCTAAGGCAAAAATGAAGCATATGTTTTGATGTTATTCATCCTTTATATTAATTTTATACCGATCAATTTATAGCTCCACTTCAGCTGGAATCCATTGCACATTGTGTAGAACAACTTGACATCATTTGAAAGAAGACAGTTATTGGCCTTTGCGGTTAATCGGCATTACAAATTATATATCATAATATATAAAAGTATATTTTATTACATTACATCATTTACAATAAAGATTTAAACGACGCAAAATATAACAAAAACATTGTAAGTCAGCCAGCATAGAACTAAAAATAAACCTGTTCCCATTCGCTGACCGCAGACGCAGATGGTGGATCGACATCCAACTTCACATCACAAACATCTGTTCTGTTGCCTGTTTATAAACACCAAACTTCCCAATTATTTGACCTCATATTAGATTTAATGGTTTCCAGTATCACGAAAATTTCAAATTAAATTTCCCTCAATTTTTTAACTAGAATCGCTCAATTGTGCTATTTCTAGCATGGATGCATTGGTTTGGAAGCAGAGTATAAGCAAAATTTTCCGTACACAGTGAATAATATAATAAAATTAAATGAAAAACAGTTTTACTTAAAAATTTGATTAATGGATCCAAGAGTGTCAATTTTATACTGTTTTCTCCAAGATTCTTCATGTTGAAATTTCACTTTCTATTCTTTTCTTTGATAAAAATCTTAATAAACATATTAAAGTTTTTACACAAAAATTATTTGTTTTTCATAACCACATCAATTTCAAAACTGCTTAATTTTATCATAAGAAGAAAATGCCGATATGAAAAAATATGGACGTCGCCTGCAAACATGTTGGTGACATTAATGTTTTTCTATTCTATTCTTCCTACCGTAACATTTGCATCTTCTCCCAAAAAGAAGCGAAGCATATACGACTCTAATCTAACCTAATTTAAAAAGAAATAGCCCTACAATTTGTAACTGAAATTAGGGTCATGAATGTGGTACATAAAAAAAAACAAATAGCGCGCACACGTTTGGTTGTGTTCATGAAGAATTATGAAGAAAAAAAATACGATTTGTATACAATACAAACTAATTAGTAAAACAGAATTTCAATTCCTGTTTAGGGTCAGTAGATTGAGATAACACGATTTTTCTTCAAACATGTAAAAAAAACATTTAGTTTTTTTTAGGTAGTACTTTTAAATTAAAATTTTATTTTATTTAATGTTGTCCGAAACTGGAAGCAAATGCGATTAATGAATTTTCTTTTGCAAATCAGTTTGTTTATTTTATTTTTATTATTTTATTCATCAAAATATTTTATATATTTTTCATATTCATTCTTAATGAAAGTTTTATTAGTGACCTCATACGGTCAACTAAATTTCCAATTAATTATCAATTGCGAATAAAATAAAGATTATAATTTAATTTAGCTATATAGTATTTATGTTATGATAATTAAATAGAAATATAGATTTTTCGTGAAAAGTATAAATAAGCCTACCTTAACGTAAACACGTATCGTGGCTTTGTATATGTACAGCTTATCTTATAGCAAGACAACGTTGCAAGGTGAATAATGCTTGCTTATTTATAAGATGTTGCTAAGGTAGTTGCCACATAAAACTTTGTAATTTACTTTAATATTTAATTTATTTTTGCGCTATTAAATACATCGTTCAACATTGTTGAATTATTTTTAACTTTTTTGAAAATTTGCATATTCCCCACATTTGTTTTAAACCAAAGCTTTGGCGAATCTTTTAAACATTTTCGTTTTTGGAAACATTGCAGCAACTTTTAGTGGGTTGTCAAAGATAGTCAACTACCATATATATAGAATATATATTCTATATAGGCCTTATATGTCAATACGGAATGTATTGTGGAGATTGAACTTTATCACTTGAATATATCGTTGACCTTAAAGCATGCATGTCATTGCATAATCAGACACTGATACCTTTATGACTGTTGACTAATAACAAAATTTTTGATGTCAAGTCAGTGTTGCCTCTTGCTTCCAAGTAAAATTTACAATTAAAAGACTACAAAAAAGCGTAAACCCAGCTCAGAATTTCATGTAGAAAATGACCATTTTTGTTATTCTAATATTCAAAATTCAAAAATCTTTTCAAGACCCATTATCTACTCAGCAGACTACAATTTTCAAAACAATATGCGGATTGTAGCTGTTAAAGTTGTTTGTAGCGAAGCCTGACAAGAACGGAGCTGCGTACTTGATGTGTGAGATAGTAAATAATGTCGAACAGTTTGAAGCCATTGAGACCATGGGAGCAAAATGTTTTTAATGTGCGAAAAGTTTTGAGACCAGTGGCGGCGTGGCCAGGTCGTTGGCAATCTCCGAGGCTTTCGAGGTGTGTTGTCTAAATGGAGCTATTTTTACATAACAGTATAAAAGAAAAAAGTTAAAAATAAATCGATAGCCTTTAAAAAATTGACAAAATAAAAAATTATCACACAAATCGTTGAAAATTTTAAATCATTGTAATGACCGCAGTAATGGTCTACACACACGGTAAGGGCCACACGCATGGTCAGAATTATCGCTACTATCGTTGTAACAATCGCACTGTAACGCAGTGGGATATGTAATAAAATATTTTAACGGCTTTAATGACAGGTTTAAAAAAATTTTGGGGCTTATGTTCTTTTTGTATTTTCATTCTACATCTTCTTAGACAGGTTCTTGCCTTCAGATCATGTGCAAAGACATTCATCCATGGATATATATCCATATATATGCATAAGGAGATATATATGCATATATATCCATGCATTCATCCAAAAAGCAAAGAATCCTGAAAATGTTTTAAGCAGCATTGTGAAATTAGAACTAAATACCGTTTTTGAACTCTCTTGTAAAAGTTGATTGAAATTTTTTGAATTCTTTATTAATCAAACTAAGGCAATTTGCTGGCCAGTTTAAAAACATTATTTTCAAATGCGAAGTAAATCGTTGATCTTATTTTTATTCGTATTCTGAGAATATGTATTTTTTTTTTACTTTTTATAAATACCTTTTGTCTGCCAATATTTAAATTAAATTAACTTTTAAAGATTATTTTTAAAGACCGGTTAGTTCAACTTGTCGAGATACGCTCTTTCCTTTTCTACATTTTTGTTTCAAATAGCAGTTTGTTGCTGGCCGGCATTCAACAAAAGAAGAAACAAAAAAGAAAAAAAACAAAACAAATTATTTCAAACTTTAATCTTTCATCATAATGTCGGGCAATAATTTTGAAGGTGCAAGTTGGAAAAATAACAGTAGCAGAGGAAATTGGTCTGGCAATAATAATAATAGAAATAATAATAGATGGAAAGGAGGTTTCAGAGGGGGTGCAAATCGTAGGAGGGGATCTTACAACGGGGGGTACCACAACAACAATTATAATAATAATAGCAGCAACAATTATAATTATAATATTAATAATGCTAATTATAGTAATAGTTACAATAGATGGAAAACAAATTCTGGTTTGCATTTTTGATTTTTTAGATAGAAAAAATAAAATTAAAGTTAGGAGTTAAGCATTAAAAAATTTGCTCTATTTTAATTGTTCATGCTTTTAAAAAAAATGTAAAATATGTAAAATGTAAATAAAATTTATTTAGTAAATAAATTTATAACACAATCCTGTTATTTATATTAACACAAACATGGTGTTAGTATTATGTTCAATAAATAATGCTCTTAACTAAACCAAAATTAAATTTTAAACGTAGCCAGTCATTGCCAGCAGAGTGATACTTCATCACAAAGTAATACATCATATTTGCCCCCTCCTGAATTCAGTGGCAGTACAAAAAAATCTTATAATGGTAATAATGGAATGGTACAGACGACGTTATTTGATGTTCCTTCACCATATGCTGGCTGGAAAATATTCATGACTGATGAAGGTTTGCTTCTCTCTCTTCATTCCACAAAAACAATCATTCAAATTTGAAATAATGAATGATTAAGATAATCTTTTCTGGTAATCATGTTGTAGGAAAATATATATCCATGAAAAACAAAAATCAAAAATTTTTATTTTGAAATCTCAAAACTTATTATTTTAATAAAAATGTTTTCTAGTATATTCAGCAACGTCAGAGGTGACAAATAAAATTGAGACTTTCTTGAAATATGTCAGAAAGAATAAACATCTCTGGAATTTGGTTAAATGTTTTTTTTATACTGTTATGTAAATAAGTGCTGCAATTCATCAAAATAAAGATTTTTTAATTTTATTTCAATAGATAAAACTATTATTATTAACTCTTATCAACATTTTTACTTTAGCCGTCCATAGAAGATACAGGTTGTATGGCAATTGATTTTAGACATCTGTGTTTGGATAAAGGTTACATTATTTATAAAAACAATTTTTTTAAATCTAGAACGTTTGTGTCTATGTAATAATTAATAAATGCATACACTCAGACATGGAGAAGGACTTGGAAGCCCTGCAGACCGACCTGGTTAACAATCCAGAATTATTTCTCAACTGCTTTTGTGTGGCAGCTTATCAGGTTTGTTTTTAATCCCATCCCGATATTAATCTCAAAATGTGGAGCTACACTGTTTACAACCAGCTCTAGTTGTTAATAATGATCAAAATTAATTTATTTTGTTTGGATGCAGTTTCATTAAGATGTTAGGTTACTATAAATTATCCAACAAAAACTCTATAAAAATTGGTAAAGTTTTTAGATCACAATAACACCTAATATGTTTGTATTTATTTGTTTATTTATTTATTTAAAACTTTAAAAAGTTATGTAAAACATAAAGTTTTTCTTAGACAGCTTGGCAGTAGATTGACTGTAAGACATTTCATTCAATTGTTGAATTAAACAATTGTATTAACAGTAAAAGTAAACAATTGTGTAAATGGTTTATTTGGGTGGTGGCACCTGATCTTGTTGCGAATAGAAAGAGCTTATCATATGCAATGTGTATGATGCATGGTTTTCACACGTATTCATATACGCTATGTGTGTTTGTCGTTGAAACCTCTGAAGCAAGCGCAAAATAGAGAGTAACTTTTAACTTTTTTGTTATATTTTATAGTTTTTTGATATTTTTGTTTCTTTGTTGTTTTCAGCTTATCAGCATTTCAGTGCAAGGAGGCTATCTTTCCATACAACCTTTAGTTATCAAAATAATAATTTTTTTTCTTATTTCACTTGTTTTAGTTTTGACCTCTAAAAATTCAAATCATGTCGATCATCTTTATTTCCATCAAAAAGGAGCGCATCTCCTACATTTTCATTGATGAACGACTAACTATTTTATATCCAGTGTTAGCTGAGTTTTCTCCTGATCTCGACGTGTTCATTGCATTCTAATTATTATATATATATATATGTAATGAATCGTTAGTTTTTTTTTATTGCAAATCTCACATGTAGGTGGATTAGTTGAAGATTCAGGAATGAGTAAACAACGTTATTGTCCAAGATGGCAAAATGAATGGAATAAAATATTAAATTTTCTAAAATAAAACATGCCCATAACAGGTATAAAAAAGACAAAAATGACGGCCTATCTCAAACTTCATACTATTACAAATAGATTAAAAACAGGACACTCAGCAATTATTTTATTTTATTTGACCTGAAAATAAAACAAAACAGCTCATCCACGAGGAGCTGGGGCCGAACAGTTTGTTTTGTGAAGGCATGCTTCCGAACACCATTTTCCGATTGTACTGCAGAATCATCAACTTCGAGATGACCACTCCACTGAGGAACGTCAAAGCCAACTATTATGGTGTCTGAAATCATTCAAACTCGTTTTTTTTATTTAGCATATTCTATTATCACAATTGACATATCTTGGCTTTAACTTGTTTCTACATGTTCAATAAAAATTTTAACTAAAATGTAAGTTAATTTTATAAGTTTTTTTTCTTTGTTATGAAACTTTGTCAAATGTGGAACTGCTTTCAGTTTGTTCTGTACTTATAATTAAACTTGTACTATCCCCATTATGCACACACGCTTAAGCACCGTATCATACCTGCATGGCGTATGATAGTCTTTGAGTTTGGAGCTGACAGTGTTCGAGGCAGGCCATCGGCGTAAAAACAGCGCGGGACTTGGCACTGAGCTAACTCGCTGACCTAATTATTGATATGTTATATATTTAATAGTAGTGAATAATTGTGAAGGTCAGTTGATTGGTTGACAGGGAAGTTTGTATCACTGAAGGGTACAGTCGTGAGGGTGGCTTGCACGAAACCTCAGTGCGTTCAGATGGCTTACCAATGTAACTTTTGCTCGCATATTTTTGTGAGTATTTCATTTCTGATCTCATTACTGTGTATTAATGCCGGTTGGCATCTCATTTGCATGATTTTTAATGTGTGTATTGCGTATGAAACATAAAAGTCCGAAGCTCTTGCGAATGTGCTGATGTGAATGTTTTTTTGGCATTTAATGTTTGATAAAGTTTTCAACCTTTCGTTATTTTTAGGCTGCCAAATGGAAAAATGGCAAATATGCTGTTCCTAACAAGGTTCCTGATTATTATTATTATCTGTCGTCAATTTAAAATCATTATTTGTGAACTCAATTAGAAGCAGCTTGTTGTGAATAATTGTACATTAATTAACTGCAGTGTCCCATGTCTGAATGCAGAAGCAGAACATTTGTGCCACTGAGATGCCACCCACTGACTTGTACCGTGGACTATCAAACCATCAGGTAACTAACTTATCTAAATTATTTTCATCAATTTTCAACTGTTGTTATCAGTTTACACCAATTTGTTATTTGTTTCTACCGTTTTCATAACTCAATACGCTCATGTATTCTGATAAGAAAAAGTTAAAACTCATGAAAGCTGTCAGAATTTGAACCATGTTATCATCTAAATAGTAATAAAACGTAACTAAATGTTGAAGGTTGCAGGAACAAATGGATGATGAGAACAGAGAGCCGGGTAGGATACCGAGAACAATCGACTGTGAACTTGCTCAAGACTTAGGTCTCCTCATAAATTATCTTCATTCATCCATCATACCTTTATTTGTATTAAATTATTTTTCAATATTACCAAATAACTCTGCCATTGCTACATGTTAGTGTAGAACTGAATATTTTTTTGAAAATTTTGAGCTTAGTTGACACGTGTGTGCCTGGCGACATAGTCACTCTATGTGGAATCATCAAGGCCACTGAATCAAATGAAGGTTAATTATTATTATCTGATTGTCAAATCTTTTTATTACACTGGTCTACATATGAAAAACAATTTGCTGACTTGAGTATTTTTGATGATAGAGTGACAGATGTGAATGGCATCAAAGGGTATTTCGGTTTCATCGTAGGTAGCCAAACGGCAACCCCCGAAAATATCGTCTAAACGTGTGTTGTTGTCTACATATGAAAAAAATTTTGCTGATTTGAGTACTTTTGATGATATTATATATTTGATTTATACTGATTCCATATTTAAAATCAAAAATTAAGTTAGAAAATTGACAACGTTAGAGAAAAGAAAATTCAGAGATGATCTAATTTAGGTGTACAAATTTGTAAGTGGCACAGATGTAATAAACTGGCATAATGAACCGATATTTGTGTTTGACCCAAGAACAAGAGGACATAATAAAAGATTACGAATAGAAAAAGTAAAAAAAGAAAACTGCCGAAAAAAGTTTTTTTTTTTACAAATTGTATAGTCAACAATTTGAATAACTTATCTCAGGAAGCAATTGATGCAAAAGATTTGAATATTTTTAAAAACTGTATAGATTCAATTATTGGATGAATAATTTAAAGCTGTTACAGTCACGTTACTACTGTAACCTGACTCAATGCACACAAATGACAATTCTTTTATTAAGCTCCCAAGCAAATTAACATTGATATAAATGCTTATCTAGGGTTGACTCCCATAAAACAAGAAATAACATAGTAAGTAATCAAAAAAAATAAAAAAAACACAATAACATAAATGAGTAAAATAATTGTCTTTTAAATTCTTCAATGTTCTTAAATTTTCATGAATAAACTTAGAAATAAAACATCGATACATTTAAACTTAAAAAATGAATAAAAATAAGAATAAAATATTAATATATTTAACTTAAACAATTTAAAAATGTTCTCAACTTCTTTTTAAATTCTGTTAGATTATTAATTGATCTTAAATATTGTGGCAGATTATTCCATTTATAAGGTGCATAATAACAAAATTTCCTGGATGTTATTTTATGTTATGTTATTTTTCATGATAAATCAATTAACTCTTGTGATTGTTATAAATTTTAAAATTTTAACTGGATAATATCAATACAATGTAAAAACATACAAAAAATAAAATTTAAGTATAGTTTCATTTATTTATTTCTTCTATAAAACGAATCTGGCCACTGAAAAAAAAATGAAATTCATTTAATTGGAAGAAATTTTCTCTTTTGATTTTCTTGAATATTTTTTAACGCTATAAACACTAATTATTATTATTGATTTCAAAACGATTGTGTGTATGTTATTGAAATTGAAACAGAGGCATCTTACAAGCAGCGTGATAACTGTTTGTTCCTCATGTATCTTGAAGTCAACAGCATCACTGGCACTAATTCATCATCATCTTTTTCATCATCATCGTCATTCAACAATGCCAACAACTGCCTGACTGATGATTTGTCACATAGCGACGCAAATGTAAGTCTCTGCTTGCATTTGTTTATTTGCATTCAGCTTTGTTCCTTTTAGCACAATGATATAAATTTTAAATAGTTTTTGGTTTTTAGATGAAATGACATTGACGATATTGGACTCAATGGTTTGAGCAATATCAGATCAGAAGCTTTGTGCTTACTTGGTTATTTCTTAGTTTCTCGGGTTAGATTGGAGTCTCATTAAAATTTTGTACTCTAAATTTTGCACAAGATGCTGTGGTGGTAATATGGATAATATCTCTTACTTATGTTTCTAATCGTAAAAAATTCTTGAAAATAATGTCTAGCATATGGTGAGCTACTTCTGTATGTTTTGTAGAAATGGATATTTTTAATAGATTGTGTTAGCACCACTTTTGATTACATTTCCTTTCTAACGGGGCATAACCTGCCCGTTTGATTAAAAATATCCGACTAACACCTCAACAAACATATTCCGGGTAAAAATTCCCGACTCCCAACTCCGGCTGCCGAGGCCAAAAAAAAATTAAAAATTAGTCAACTTTTGCATCATAATCTTTACTTGAATATAACTACTAAATAAAAAATACTTTAAAAAATACTTAAAATCAGTCAATGTAATTTTTTTTAATAAATTACTTTCATAATTATGTTTCAAAACATACCAAAAGGAAGTTATGTAATTTTATTCACATTATTTTCAGTATTAAAGGTAATTGCATATCGCACCGCACATATTTTTTTTCTTCAAAACACAATTTTAAAAGACATTTGGAAATAGAAAAATTTTTAAATTTAAAAAAACTTTCCTGAGTTGGATGAAAAATATTCCAGACTTCAAGATATTCTAACTCCGGCAAAAATCTCCGACTCCTACCAACTCGGACACTTGCTGATGAGCAAAGTTGACTAAAAAATGTTTATTTTGATATTTCATATAACAAATGTTAGATATGTAGCCAGTGAAAGTGCCACACGTTCAACTCATTCAGGTCGACCAGTCTGCAACGAACAAGATTACAATGGAGTTCACACTTAAGGAACTCTACGCTATCAAGGAGATTCACTCTGACGAGAATTTGTTCAAACTTATTGTCGGGTTAGCGTTAATGGGATAATGGTGATGATGATGGTGGTGCTGATAGTCATGGTGGTAATGATGATGATGTTGATTGTGTAGGTGATTAAATTTTGATATTATATTAGCATCTAAATATTTTAAGTTTAGGACATTAAAGTATAAAACGAAACTGCCAGTTGAGTATTTGAGTACAAATATATTATTGCAACGTTCGGCACTCACTTTTTTTGAGTTGTGCTTAAATGGCTTTCTCTTGCGAAATGGCCTAGCGCAACGCCGCAATTTATTGAAGTCACCACCTTGCTAGTCATTCTTCTTTACCGTTTATTCACTTACGTAAAATGAAACTGGAATGACGCAGAATATTTTTGCCTGTCAACCTCTTCCAACTAAATAACTAACTACGTAGTTTGCATGCGTTTTTATTATAGCGTAGCTCTTCATTAAATGTATGACATAGTGTGTGTGTGTGTGTGTGTGTGTGTGTGTGTGTGTGTGTGTGTGTGTGTGTGTGTGTGTGTGTGTGTGTGTGTGTGGTGTGAGTGTGTAACAAACTTATATATGTTGAATTCCATTCAAATAATATTGAGATGCTGGATTGGGTGGTCGAAGGATGAGTCGATTTGCTAACGTACTCACTTGAACGTGTTCATGGAATTCACATATTTTCGTGTTTTCTTATCTGTTTATGAGCTTAGCTCACCTGTGTATTGAAAATAGTGATTGAATTCATTTATTTCTCGTTTATTTGTTCACTTGTTAATGTTCGATAGAAGGTTATTTGTTGCCTTTTATTTTTCCTTCTCTTAACAGATCTCTATGTCCCACCATATATGGACACGAGGTTGGCTCTGCTTCATCATTTGGATTTGTTTTTATCTGGCGCTCAACAGTTTTCAACAATGATGATTAATTAATTAATTAATTAATAAATAAATGAATGGATTAATAAAAAAATTAATTAATTGATGTTTTGAAAAGATGGTAAAGGCAGGATTGATATTGGCTCTGTTTGGTGGAACGCCGAATACTTTTGAGGAGAAGGTTGCTTCAATATCTCACGTCGTCGTATTTTACATTAATAATAAGAACAACATCTCAATAACATGATCTGTTGGAATGGGATTTGATTGAATTGTTGTTATAATGTTTAATTGAGAGGTTTGTTGATTGAATTGTTGTTATAATGTTTAATTGAGAGGTTTGTTGATTGAATTGTTGTTATAATGTTTAATTGAGGGGTTTGTTGATTGAATTGTTGTTATAATGTTTAATTGAGGGGTTTGTTGATTGAATTGTTGTTATAAAGTTTAATTGAGGGGTTTGTTGATTGAATTGTTGTTATAATGTTTAATTGAGTGGTTTGTTGATTGAATTGTTGTTATAAAGTTTAATTGAGGGGTTTGTTGATCGTTTCAGGAAGCCACACCTGTCAGGTCTGATATCCACATCTTAATGGTTGGCGACCCAGGCCTGGGTAAAAGCCAGGTTACTGTTTTTTCAAATTGACACATTCAAATTTTCCATTTTAATTGCTTCCAGTAAAAAGCTTTTGATATGAAACTTACTTTTGCCGAATGGCATTTGATACTTTGCAGATGTTACAAGCAGTTTCCAACCTGTCACCTCGAAGTGTTTACGTCTGTGCCAACACAACTACAACATCAGGCCTCACTGTTAGCTACTGTTACTTTGATTCACTATATTCTCTCGATAATGATTTTAATTTCATTTCCAAAAACTGATAAAATGATTAGTAAAAATTATCTAATAAAAAAAACTCTCTATAATAAAAAACGCCTGCCCGTTGATCACGTGACAGGTGACACTGACAAAGGAGAGTGGGGGAGGGGGGGATAACGTTCTGGAGGCGGGTGCGCTGGTGCTGGCTGATCAGGGCTGCTGCTGCATTGATGAGTTTGATAAGATGAACAGCAACAACCATTACGCCCTTCTTGAGGCCATGGTCAGCTGTGTTGTTTCAGAGATGCACTCTATTATTATTATTATTATTATTTTTATTGTTATTATTGTTATTATCATTATATTGACATTTTAGAATGGTGCATCATGCTTTTAAACACTTGTTTTATGCTGACACCGATCCAACATGACATAGCCCTCCATCAAATCATAAAAGTGTATTTACACATATAATTTTATTAGTATTATAAGATGTCTGATCTTGATTTTAAATTTCAACATGTAGGAGCAGCAGACAATAAGCATTGCCAAGGCTGGCATTGTTTGCAGGTTTGTTCGTTCGTTCATTCATGTATATGTATATGTCTCACGCAGTATATGTACTTCTAGAGTGTTTAGTTTATTAATCGTAAAATACATGAATCGATTGCATTGGATCGATGCAATAACTGGTTGTACATATGGAGCAGAGAAAGGAAAAACGTGGCCAGAAAATTCGTGTGCATGTTCATTATGGCTTAACAGGAGAAGTCGAATTGAGAAACACTGCACTGCATGTATAATAAATAAGCTGCAAATTGCGATTTTAAGTTGGTACGCACGCTTAATTAACTTCCGTCATATTTGTAGTGGTTATTCACTAGCTACATCTTTTTTATTTTCGCTGGACCAGTTTGCCAACGCGCACCTCCATAATCGCCGCTGCCAATCCAGTTGGCGGACATTACAATAAAGCTAAAACTGTTTCTGAAAATTTGAGGTTATTGAATTTTTTTTCGTTAAACCAGAAGATAAAACTAATATTAGATTTTAACTTAATTTTTTTTAAACTCTGTTAATTGAATATTTTTAGAATGAACAGTGCATTGCTGTCGAGATTTGATTTAGTTTTCATTCTCCTTGACAGGCCTGATGAGGTTATGTAAATTTTCGAATATTTCAAAATTAACCATTCAACTTATTGTCTTCCACCGCTTTTTGCGCCCTGCCTTCCGAATCAAGTTGATATATTTCCATACCCACTACAAGTTGTTTAACGAAATGTATGCTATCTTGCTTGAAGAAATAGATAGCATTGTACTCTGGTGTAACCTAATGTTCTGGTTTCTATTACAAATAAAATAAAAAATGCAAAGAAAGATTTAGTTTGGAATTTGATCCTTTTATTATAAAATATGCATTCCAATTTTTTTTTCTATTGAACGACTTAACGTTTATTTATTAGTTGTTTAAATCTTGGTCAATCGTTACTTTCAAATCATGCGTCAGTACATTTCGAATTGCCTTCCTTGGGATGTAAATTTCCTCCTGAAGGCTGCGTTGGAAGACACCGGTCTATCAAATCAATCGATCAAATAATCAGCCAACCGGTCACTCAATCATTTACTGAACAGTATATTCGTGCATTCCTAGATAATGGACAGCAGGTTGTCTGATCACGTGATGTCATTGCATGGAGGTGCTGGCAGCGGTAGTAGGTTGGTCGTTGGTCGTTTTTTTGGAAAAATACTGCAATAATTTTTCATTCAACGCCATTCCTCATCAGTTTATTTTAGTTTTGCTGTTCGTGAAATATACTTAATATTTTAACAAATGTATGAATTTAAATTTAAAGAAATACCTATAAAAGTGGGGAAGTAATTTTTTTAATTTTTATTATCAGTTCTTGCACCAGCACTCCGTCATCGAAACTTTCCAAAGTAACCATCATACATTTTTTTTCATTTGAATGCGTTGCTACATACATATTGACCTAATTTGTATCGTTGTTAACTGTTGTACTGGACTTGGTCTGGCGAGAATTGAATTGATTTCAGAACATCGCCGTCGATTGTTGACGGCTCTTTAGATGTTTCTTTGAGACGTCGTAACTCCGTGAACTGAATTTTTTTTATATATCCACTTCAGGCATTCAGTTTTTTTTATCCGACGTTTTAAGTAAGCACCAGATTACTATGGATGTAAAATCTCATTCAATTTCTATTTCTAACTTTGGCAACTGGATAACTTTGTTCTCATTGATAGATTGGAACACTTCCAAGTAAGCAATTTTCTACACGGAGAACTTATTTGTGTACTGCACTTTTTGGCATACGGAGCTAATGCAGTACATCTCTAAAGTAACGTAAAATTTTATCAAAACTCGATAAACCAGAAAGCAGCCGGGCACCCAAGTTTAAAACAGGCTGAAAAGCATCTAAAAGGATGGAACCTGATGCTGAATTTTGACAACTAGAGTTCCATCTGTCAAGCATTGTTTTCAATAGCCTATATTGAAATTGTACTGACATCACATCCAATAGTGCAAGCGTTATAGTGTTTCGCGAGTCTACAGGATCACGGATCACGACTTCATTGCTCTTTCTTTCTTGTGTGAAAACATGGTGATGACGACGGTGGAGGTGATTATGATGATGACGATGATGAAATGGTGATAGTGATTCATAGTGATGAAATGTCGTTAACAGCTGTCTGGTATGATCAGCAAACATGGACGTTCTGGCGACGAAATGGATCGGACACAATCATTGGAGGAGCGACTGAAGTTAGGATTGGAGGAATCCATTGATCCCATTCCTCCACTCCTTCTTCGAAAAGTTACTATCTTTTTATTCTTTTTCTCTGATCTGATCATTTATGATACTCTTATTAATTTTCTGTAACTTCAACTTACAATAAAAACTTACAAAAATGTATTATCAGCATTGTCTCGTTATCAATTCAGTTATCATCACTTATTCTTATTTCCTCTTAAACAATTTAACTCTAATAGTTATCTTTAGTGTCCATTTAATTGTAATTAATTAAATAATTTAAATAATTTATTCATTTATTATTTAATTCAGTACATAGGATACTCCAAGATCTACGTTCAACCAACTCTATCACAGGGAGCCGTTAAGATTCTTCAGGTTATTTTATAAAAATTCACTGATGTCTCAAGAGTAACGACAGAAGTATTATTATGATAATTTACATGACGCCTTTAGGCTGAATTTTCGAGAAACTAAATGGATTATTCGCTTATTTAAAAAGAAATTAGTTTAATTTAAATTTTAACGAAATAATGAAAACTGTTCAGTTTATGTTCTATTATTATTATTATTATTATTATTATTATTATTATTATTATTATTATTATTGTTATTATTATTTATTATGTATGTACCTGCAAGAGAGTTGGCCAACTTGTGCAAACTCACTGTTTTTAAACATAATTTACGTTTTTACTGGTTTTATTTAGTTTTTAAAATAGGTTCGTTTGGCAGGGATATTGTGATTTTATCTTTAATTGGCTGCGTTGTAGTTTTGTAGTTTTAATTTGAAAAATATCCTAATTTTAATTCTAAAATTAATATAGCTAATAGTGATGATAATAAAATTTTATCGTCTTGTTGCCGTAAAATCTGCAAGGCGAGAAAAGGTATTAAAATGCATCAACGTTTAAACAAAATTTTATAAAAGATATTGCATTATTGTTGTTATTATTGTTATAAATAATTGTTGGAATGATAATGCAAAGGAGTTTTACATGGACCTGAGGAGGAGACACCACAGCGCCGATTCCACTCCCATCACGACGCGACAAATCGAATCGCTCATCAGACTCACGGAGGTTTCCTACATATTTTTTTCCTTAGATTTCTGATTCGTTAATAACAACGCATCTGGATAAACGCCGTCGTTCATGTGTTAAATTGAAAAACAACAGGCAAGGGCTCGAGTCGAATTGAGGCTGGAGGCGACGGAGCAAGACGCCATTGACGTCGTCGAAATTATGAAGTACAGGTTCAGAAACAATTTCTAACTTACATGATTTTCACAAAATATTTTCAATAATTGGGACGAACAAGTTGACTCAAACTCAGTGCTTTTCTATCAGGCATTCCTGGGTTGAGATGATCTATAAAGCTGTTACATAACAAAGAGCTATCATGTGCGTCTTAGTGTGCGATTGTTGATTGTAAGTATTAACGCACTTGCGCAGAGCACTCATTAACATATGTGTAATAGTGCGTCCTGAGGCATCAGTATGAAACGTTCGCTGCTCATAGAAATTTCAAAATCCACATACATATATGCGTTTACAACCATCCATAGAACGTTATGCATTTGAATATTTTTCAGCCTCCATTGTTGAAGAATAAATATTAAATATATAGATCAATTGATTGTAATTGAGTTATCCGGGTTGATGGATTGATATGATTGATTGACTGATTGATTGGTTGGTTGGTTGGTTGGTTGGTTGGTTTATTGATTGATTAATTGATTGATTGATTGATTGATTGATTGATTGATTAATGATATGATTGAAGCTTATTTTCTTACGCATGATACAGTATGATCGATACGTACTCTGATGAATTTGGCATGTTGGATTTTCAACGTTCACAACATGGCTCTGGCACTAGTTCTAAATCTCAAGTTTGTTCTTTGTAAAATATTTGCTACTTTTTTTATTTCTCTGTTTAACTGTGTTAAAAAATGAATATAACTGCATTGATACCTGGGTAAATTGAGAAGAAACAGTAATTGTTTTTGATGGAAGGTGTTACAATGCGGTATTTTAAATTTTTCATCATATTTATGATTAATCATTATTTCATTCTTGATTTCAAATTTATTTATTAATACAAAAATAAGGATTTCATCGCTAAAAAAACTTTTAGCAAGTTTACAGGTAAAACTACAGTTAAACAATTATAAAGCTGCACTAGTTTAACTGAAGCTATTTTACATTATAATTGTTTGTACTGTTTGAACAGGCCAAGAAGTTCATAACATTACTTCAAAATGTGTCCAAAGTACGTGGGAACGAGTGCCTCTTCGACGTGCGTGAGATGAAGGACCTTATGAAGGTCACCTTACAGTAATCTTCTAATCTTATATTGCTGTTTGGCAAATTTTAATGTGTTACACTATCTTTTCTCATAAAAACGTTTATATATATTTATATATATATATATATATATATATGTATATATATATATATGTATATATATATGTATATATATATGTATATATATATATATATGTGTGTGTGTGTGTGTGTGTGTGTGTGTGTGTGTGTGTGGTTTAGTATGTGTACAGCTCGATTAAATGAAAGAAAAACAATCTAATTCAGACTGGTGGAATTCGAGTTAGGATTTTGAGACCTTCATCACATCTCTCAACGACCAAGGTTTCCTTCTGAAAAAAGGCCCAAAACTCTACCAACTTCAAACCACCGATTTTTAATTGTATTTTACGAGCCATTTAGAAAAAAAAACGGTCGTACTACATACATTCAGTTAGTAAGTGCAATGTAAATATTACCGTGAAGTGGGTGAATGTTTCTTCCGTTATTGAACAAACTATTAAATAACCACATTTTTGTAATTAGATCAAATCGTTAGTTAAGTCGGAGATTTATGACGGACAGTAACTCGGAGTCAAAATTTTTTTATGGGCCGGAATCAGATACTTTTCATCCGACAAGATATTAAAAATGTTTGGTCGACGTGGACTTCTTCTGATTGCAACTCGAGGGACTCGGTCAAAAGCTTTCCCTAGGTCTACAAAAACGTGAGGTACATCTCTGTAGTTGCCGGGTACAGGTACAACAGAATTGCATCGATGGTATTGCCGGGTGATGTGAATTGCATCGATGGTAGATTTTCCGGTCATAAAACCAAATTGATAATAATCGATTTTGATGCATGATATCGACTTCTCCGACGATTTTCAGAAGTCATTCTAACAGATGAATACCACAATATGACGGAAAATTCGAGAGAACACCTTTACCCTTGTAAAACGGTACTGTTGTACTTGAGTTCCATTCAGTTAGCATTGAACAATTCTTCCAAATTTTCGGAAATGTTTGTAATAGTCGCCGGATATTCTGATAATATCGCTTGTTAGCCTAAATGCCGTTAACATTGAAAGAAAAAAAATTATACATATTAAATTATAATTTCTTCATCGAATTTTGTAAACACTGTTGTTGACAAATATTTTTTTGTTTTGTTTCATTGTTCTATGACATAACCTAATATTCTAAAGTGTTATAACGGCTGGAGTGGTTGAATTACGCTATATAATTATTTATTGTTATATTTGTTATCTTGGCTATTTGTCATTGATTGTAAATTAAAGAATTCCAATAAAAGATTTGGAAATAATTTAAATTTTTAGTAAATAATCAAACAAATTCATTATTATTTCATCATGCAAGTGTTATGTATATGATATATAATTACCGGTCTGCGGTTGTTTGCAGGAGCTATCACAAATTTTTCCATTTCAAAGACAGTTTCTAATGTAGCTAGCATCACGAAACTCCAACTTCACTGCAAAAGACATTAATGCCATAAGTAACAAGAGAGTAGCTAAGCCATTTTATTTGAAGAAATATTAAAGTAGGTAGTAGTAAAAACCAAAAATAGAGCTAATAGTAGTGAAAAAATTTAGATTAATTCAGTTTTTATTCAAATAAAACGTAAACACGCTGGAGCGTTTCTTATCTATGAAACTCAAAAGTTATAAAAGTAATCAGCATAGTGTAGATGCACCAGTTTTTTACAATGAAATTAATCATTTAAGAAACTGAGAGCGGAGCTCAAAACTGTTGCTTTTTGTTTGGGACTGTCGTTTCCGTCTATCTCAGTGTATTCCAAAGTGGGGCGATTTTATTGTTAAAAAGCAACATATATAATGATTAAGATATATGTATAACATGTGCCGTATAAACACGTGCATCATCGATGATCTGGTAGAAGTTTTTTTAACGAAAATAATTTTTCAAATGTATATTCAAAGTTTTTTTTTTTTCTAAAAACGTTTTAGAATTTCTGAATTTTGGATGGATTACATATTAAATTCATCCTATCTTTCCACCATAATAATATTATATGTACATATGTATGCTTATACGGCACATGTTATACATATATCTTAATCATTATATATGTTGCTTTTTAACAATAAAACCGCCCCACTTTGGGATACACTGAGATAGACGGAAACGACTGTCCCAAACAAAAAGCAACAGTTTTGTGCTCCGCTCTTAGTTTCTTAAATGATTAATTTCATTGTAGAAAACTGGTGCATCTACACTATGCTGATTACGTTTATAACTTTTGAGTTTCATAGATAAGAAACGCTCCAGCGTGTTTACGTTTTATTTGAATAAAAACTGAATTAATCTAAATTTTCTCACTACTATTAGCTCTATTTTTGGTTTTTAAAAGTTAAAAACATTTTCAAATATAAACCGCCATACTTCGTAAGTTGTATTTAAATTCTGTACACTGCCGCGTAATTCAAACTAAAGACTGAATCAGTTAAGGCTATTAATAATTTTCAACGATTAAGATTTTATTCTTAGAAAAGGCTTTTAACATCTATCAAAGTCAAAAAATATGCTTTTAATTTTATATTTCTAAAAATTTTTGTAAATCAGCTACAACATTATTAAATTATGGTAAGTCAAATATTTTGAATTTGTTGGACAGGCTTTATATTTTCTACACATCAACAATCTTCATCAAATAAGCACAATTCTGTAAATGAAAAATAATATTTATTAATTGTATTAATGTATAATGCTCAATGTTATACTAATAATATTAATAATAATATTAAAAATATCGCAAAACCATAGGCTAAACTAGGTTTAACAAATATAAAAATGAGTTCAGGACGACCCATTCGGTTGATGTTTGTTAGGTCAGACATGTTTCATGAAACAACATTTTTTAAAACAAAGCTACATTTTCAGCATAAAATTATAATCAGCATTTTAGGATCGAATTCCCAACTAATTAGCGAACAGGTAACCGTAGCTGTGATGTTTTCAACACGTTTGAGTTTCAAGTCCGAATGACAAATAAAGAAAATTGCAAATTTAAAATGAAGGATTATAAGCATATATTTTAGTCTATCAACGACTTACAAATATACCTAAAACTTTGACACAAAATCAAAAGCGGCTTCACCAATTTATATACTTTAGTTCTAACCGTTATTATTGCAGCACACTCCTTTAGCTGCACAAACGCCATCGTATTTTCCACATTTCTTTCCAATTAAGACACATGGAGAGGGTATCATATTTTCAACCTTGCAATCAGCAGTTAAGCTCCTGTTTCTGAAGCAGCCAATATTGTCTATGCAGCAGAGGTTTTCTGATACGCATATCCCTTGAAGGTTGTTTTCTGGCCCTGAAGTACCGCATGGCGGGCACTAAATTTAACACGATATAATAAAACTCATATAATTATCAAAACTTTATTTTTAGAATATGCGACATCGGAATACGTTACAATTGCGTGTTAAAACGTATGTTATGGCCACATAGATTACTGACCTGTCGGAAGTTCGTCCCATCATCTTCATAAGATCTTTTTTTCCCGCCAATGGGACAGTTTCTGATGAAGCAAGCGTTGTTAGGTTCCAATGTTAGAAGGACAAAAAAAATGGACGTAATGAAAAAGAAGTTATTAGAAATCATGGTGAACTTATTGAAGCAAATTCGTAATAGAATTGTTCATCGACATCACTTATATACTCGAAAAAGATAAAATATGTAGGAGGTGGCATCGTTGAAACGTCAGAGACATTTATGAACGTCAGAAATACTGAAGAAAATTATTTATTCTTCTACGCCCCACGTCAACAATTAATTGAAGATGTGATTTTTTGATATGCCAAAAATTATCTATAAGTGGTATTGTAGAAAAATTATTTGATGTGCATATTAATTAGATCATTTAGTACAACTGTAATGTAAATAAGGAAATGAATTGCTCACACCCAACTTTTCGACGAACGATGATTGTTGTTTTTAAAAGAATTGAATTACTTTTTTAAGTTAAATTGAGGTTAAATAGTGTAACGTTAATAATAAATAAACATTCCATGTTTTTATAAAATAAAAAGCGAATACATATATTAAATTTTATTATAAAATTAAGAATAAAAAATGCTTCCAAACAGACCACAGCACTCAACAACTCAGCAAGTGTATGCAGTTTACGACCACTCTTATCATCAACATCATCAGCACCGACCTCCTCAGACATCGTCTGGGCTTTCCACCTCGTACGTTCATCGAAACTATTACGAAAATCATGCACCTCCAGTTTCCTCTGCAAACTTTTCCACGCAACTCTACTCTAATAATATTAATAATAACAGCACTAGGAATTCGTCTTATTCGACTTTTAATAATTATAATTCCGCACCACAATCATATAAAAATTATTACAACCATAGTAATAGTACCAATAACAACAGTTGTAACGCACTAACGACATTCAGGGATCAGTCGGTTACTCACCCTTCCAGTTCTCACCGAAATGACACGTTTCCAGTTAAAGGCAGATTTAACAATGAATATAATAATGCGAGCAGTTTGGAAAGATACAAGTTACAAAGAAAGCAGCCACTTCAAGTTTCCAATATTAGTTTTCAACAGATTGATCCATCGTGGGCAACAAATATGTATTCATCATATAGTTTGCCTTACTATGGTCAAAATAGTTACTGTTCAAATGGGTCTTATCAAGATGTTTCAGACAGCAGTGCACATGACCTTCAATTCCCACGGCCTGAAATTATTCAACAACAAAATTTTCAGACCTCAGATAGAAGAAATTATAACAATTCAATCACAAACAATAAAAACGTTAGTATGTTTTGTTCAATGTTTTTTAACGTGCATCTTGCTTGTCACTAAAGAAAAATATGTAACCAATAATTATATCTCTATCTTACTATACCTCATATGCAGATATATTATTTTAAAAATTATTATTAATTTCGTTTCAAGAAGATTGAAAAGGTTTTGGGTTGCACTGGTCTATTCAATCTAGGAAACACTGTCAGTAATTATATTCACTGCCACAATTTTTTTAACTTTTATAATTCTAAATTCCATAGATTAATATTTAAATAAAGAATAAACATGCAAACCACAGTGTTACATGAACAGCATATTACAGTGCTTAAGTCACACAAGAGTCTTACTCGACTACTGCCTTAATCAAAAGTACAAAGATGACATGAAGAAAAATAAAAGCAAGTCTAAAGGAATTCTCATCAAAGGTTTTCATTGAGTTAACCTTATAATTTTAGATGTACTATTTATTCCCAGATAGTTGTATGATGAAAGCATTTCCTGGTTTATGTCTGAAGCTGAATTTAAAGCAGCTTGATTTTTATAGATGATTGTAAAAATGCTTGATTTGATGAGAGAAAATATGTTTCCCTCTTTATAGCTCTGGCTGATGTTCTGAAGGAGATGTGGTTGGGAAAGATGAGCATTGCTCCAACTGACTTCAGAAAAAAGATGTTGTCTTCTATCAAGTGTTTTGATGGACTGGAGTATGCTTTAATATTTTTTATAATTTCATTGCTTTTTTTCTCAATGTATGTACTTTCTTATCATAAAGTTGCAATAGCCTAACTAAATGGTTTTATAATCACTTTTGAAAGTCAAATATTGATTCAACATTGAGACATATTTTTTGATGAAGATTGTTAAGTTTTAAACATATTTAAAAATGTGAATTAAAGTTCTTTTCAATTTTAATAAACTTATTGTCATTTCATTTAATTTTGTTGACTCCACCATGCAGTCAGGAAGATGCACAAGAGTTCTTGATGTTTTTGTTGCAGGGTCTCAGTGAAGATGTTTGTAAGGACAACAACATCAAAAAGGCTTATTCTGTCAGACTTTTCATTGCAAAGTTTGAACATTTTTCCTAAAATTTTATATATATTTTAGTCATGGCTATCAGCTACCACTTGAATGAGAGAATTTATTTTTTGCATTAGAGATAAAGTTGCTGACAAAGCTTGGAAGAAATACCTTGACCTGGAGAACAGTTTCATCATTGGTAATGATAGGATTATTGAAACGAATTAATGACTTGAGAATTTTTTAGACGAGTTTTACTATTGAAATTGGCAGATATGTTTATGGGGCAGCTGAGAAGTGTGTTGACTTGTGACTCTTGCAAAAATACATCCAACACCTTCGACCCTATTCTTGGATTGTCTCTTTCAATACCAGTAACAATTTTTTAACTTTAGAGCATAGTATATTCATTGTATCATTTCATTTTCAGATAACTTTTTAGAATAAAAAAGAATTCTTTCAGAAAAATATCTATATTGGATACATTAGCTATTCTAATACTAAAGAAGTTATTTGAAAGGTTTAAATAGAAACAATTTTTTTCATAAAGTCTGTGGGCAGCAAAGACAGAGTTTTGCTAACTGAATGTCTGAAGCATTACTTCCGGGATGAAGTTCTTGTTGGAGATGAAAGAGCTGTTTGTATCAACATTCACTTTTATATCGTTCCTTTATATATATATATATATATATATATATATATATATATATATATATATATATGTGTGTGTGTGTGTGTGTGTGTGTGTGTGTTTGCGTTTGTGTAAAATGCTAAAAAAGAGATTCTATTAAATGAATTTGTGGCCAGCAATAAAAAAAAACAACTGAAGCTGTTTTCTCTGACTTTAAAATTGTATATTTTAAAAGTTTGCCATAAATATGTGACACGTTTTTATTAGGCTAGTGATTTGTTTTCGCTGGGTATCTTTTCTTTACTTTATCAGAATGCCATGTTTCATTTTTTATGATATATTTTTGATTTTACAAGGATTTTTTTTACAATGAATGTTTTCCAGAAATGTGATCACTGCCAAATGAAAAAAGATGCTAAAAAAAGTCTTTTCATCCAGAAGTTTCCTAAAATTCTTATAATTCGTATGTATTGGTTAAGTTTTTTTTAAACTCATCAAGTTAAATGATTTTATTATTGTTTAATTTTAAAAGATCTGAAGAGATTTTCCAACAACTGCACCCAGAAGATCACAAAATTTGTGGAGTACCCAGTTGAACGTCTGGACTTGAAGGAGTTTACGACATTCAGTGGTCAGTATTGATGTACATGTAATTCAACTACATTATATTATGTATTTCATTTTTAGATACTGATTGCAAGGTTTTCATAAAGTTAGATAATAATATTTGCACCATGTCTTGCAATTTATTTTGGATTTATGCATTTATTTAGATGTTGAATTTTTATTTTGTTTTTTAGTTGGATAATTTTTTCCGCCAGCTAATGTGTCATACAGTTTATATGCCGTTGTCCAGCACTTTGGATTGCTAGGTGATGGTCATTATACAGCTTCCATTCAAAATGCTAACAACAACCTCTGGTACTACTACGATGATGACCTGTTAGTATTTTTTGCACTTTAATTTTGTTATATTGATTTAGCATCTGCTAGTTGAAGAGACCACGGTTTATAATGTCATTCCTATAAATTATAATGTCATTCCTCACTGCCTTGTGAGTGATGTTGGATCATCAAAGGCTAGGCCCACCGCTTATAACTGTGGTTGCGTAAGGAAGGGCGTCCTGCGTAAAAACTAGCCAAAAATAATACTTATGATGACGGAAATAACAATGGCCCTCAGTATCCGGCAGAAGAGGGCGCGAAGAATCTCCGGAGACCCAGTCCATGAGGTTGTGGTGCAAGGCCCTGTGGATGGTCTGGCTACTGGCACCCCACTCTATAGTGTGGCGGTGCAAGGCACTATAGATGGAAGGACTACTTGTAGACCAAGGGGTTGGAGGTTTGGTACCTGGAATGTAGGCACGTTGACAGGAAGAAGTTTGGAAGTGGTGGAGGAGCTGCAGAGGAGAATGGTTGACGTGGCTGCATTACAGGAGATCAGATGGAAGGGTGAGGGTACAAGGTTTGTGGGGGCTAAAGGTGAAAGATATAAGTTGTGGTGGAAGGGGGATGATGGTACGGGAGGAGTTGGTGTGATGGTAAG